TTTGAAGACCACGTTTAAAACAATGTTCTGAGAAGTTGAACAACATAAAGGACCTCAAAATTTGATCAGAGCTGACACACCTTACATTCCCAAAACACATGCACACACACACACGCTGGAAATTCCCAGTTGGTGGTTTGTAGCTCCATGCAGTGCGTTCCAGTGGTCGTCTTTATGAGAAAATAGCATCTGACCTCAGGAATAGTGTAATGTAAACAAGTGACATTGAGACAATAAGACCAGAGGCTGATGTCACCACAGCGTTAGCATTCCCCGTCTTTATAAACACCAGACATGTTTAATACGTTCTTTGCATACCAAGTAACTCTGATTGGTGGTCTTGTTAGTTTGGTTAACATCACTGGACTTTCTGAATGTTTACATGTATTGATAGATACTGGTATAAATATTAGTAGGTCTAAAGTTTAGTCTCGTCTCAAGTAAATCAACATTTAAAACATGATATTAAAGGTTTCAAAAGCATTGTCAATGTGCACTTAAAACAATGGTATTTTGATCCCTGATTGAGCTTTAGAGATGCCAAGGCCTGTCACAATGACAAATTTTGAAGTGCAATATATCGTTGTACAACAAACAATAGTACTAAAACGAATTTATGCCCCTCTAACCCAATAACCCTGAAGTAGAATTATCCCCCAAAACTTTTCTAAATGTACAATATGGTTAAAAAACACAAATTGCAATAAAAAATAGCAGAATGAAGCACAGTAGTTATTTTGTGTATATGAGTCATAAAAACTATTTATTCAAACGTCTACAGCTCAAATCTTATCGCAGAACAGAGACAAACTAAAAGTTCACCACTAATCCAAAGAAAATCTCCACGATAAATATTAACCCTAAAAATGATTGTTCCCTCTAACACATATTAAATGATAACTAGATATAGTAATTATTGTGACAGGCCTAGAGTTGGCAGTGTAATGAAGCAACATGTAAAAGGTTGACACCAAAAATAACCTCAGTTGGAAAAGTAAAGTTGGTTCCCAGCCCTAACAAAACAATAGCTTGCTTCCTTGTTGTTTCCCAAACCCTTTAAATGAGTTTTATAAGATGAGCATGTCCCATCTCATTGGCCTATCATGCTTGTAAAATATGTATAAATGCTAACCTAATCTATTGCTTGTGCTAAATGATACACCTAGTCAGTCTAAATCAGTCAAGGTTTCTAAATATCTATTTTCAAGTATATTTTTACACACGACTCTCTGCCCAAAATAACAGCCAATCTGAAAATAGTGGTTATATTTTACAGAAAGAAAAAAAGACATTAGAAGTGTAGAATTTAATGTGCATTGTTCTTGCACATTATCAACACTCCAGCTCCATGAGATTAAACTAAACACACTGTAGATTAGCTAAAACATCAAATAATTATTGAGTTTTTCTAGTTTAACTGACTAGACCAACTGAAACTATCCGAACACAATATATCTTTTTTCCTTTCCTTGGATACCTCCTCACTGCAAGAGAAGAGTCCGTTAGGAGTCTCATTATACGATCAACTTAGAACATTAGCCCTGCTTGTAACTAACTGTGTGTGTGTTTACCAGACTATAAATGTCCCTGCTTTGACGTCAGACGCTGGCTGTTGAGGAATGCTGCATGCTTGCCAAACGCGCACACACACTTGCGCCAGGGCCCGGACAGTGTGTGTGTTGTAGTAGAGCGGAGGACACGTGCGTCACTCTCAAACGCCACTATATTTGTTTAGGTCATTTGGATACGAGGGCCCGCCGCACACACTTAGATCGTTTATTCCCATCTCCTTGCACTTTTTCAGGCTTCGGAGGAACTTTTTCAACTGAAGTAAACCATCATAACAGAGTAAACTTAAAGCTCTACGGGACTGCGGCTCTTGAGTTGCCCTTTCATTGGATGTATGAAGTGAAGTCATAATGCCTCTTGACTGTGGAGGGGATAGAATAGAAGAGAGGCCATAGCAGGATAAGAAACTTGGAGGAGTGGTGATTTTAACTTGAGCATGAAGCATTGAGGAGTATTGCATTTTTAATAAATATTGTGTTTGTTTTTTGTTTTGTTTTTTTGCATTTTTTTTCTTATTTGATAATACAGTTATAGCACTGACTATATGTATAATACATTTCCAGTGCAGCTTTTCTTTATGCTTAAGTTATGTTAAGTTCTGTATTTTTTATCTCAGACTCATTGACTGATACCTTGCGTTCAGTTCATACAAGTGAAGTGAGCCTGAATCATGTCACGGTCAAAGGTCATGTCTGAGCTGTGGTTTCACATTTAAAACCATTGTAAAGCGGACATATTGTCTTCTGTTCACATGCCTCTTTGATTAGCACTAATTAGCTTATCGTTCTTACTTTGGCTGCCTGCACTTGATTGGCTTAGTTTCCAGTGAGCTCTCTGTCTGTCTTTAAACAACAGCGCTCCGCTTTGTATAAAAAGGTCAAAGGTCCTCTAATAGGGTTTGGGTGCCACATTGTGGGGTAGTGGGTTCAGCTGGAGTACCATGGTGAGACTAGAGTAATGGGCAGCCCTTCTCCTTGGCCTGTGGATATGTGCTAATCTGCCTGCAGCCTCCTGACCCATTGCCCCCCTGCGCTGAGAGAAAATAATGCATTTGACGTCACTGTGGCCAGGACTGCCTTACTACTGTACATATACATGTACAGTGATCACTGTAAGCTGATTGGAGAGACTAAGCTGATTGAGAACTTCCGATCTGAGTGACTCTGAAACGAGTTATTGCAGGAATACTGGGAAAATATCCAGAATATGATGAAGTGGTCAGTGTGATGCGGTGGAGGAGGAGGAGGAGGGGATGGGCAAATGCACAAATCATAAATGTGTGATAATGTTTACTAATACACAGTATTGATGCCATAGTTATATAATTTGTGTAATCTAGTTGTAATCTAGTCTCTGTTAGCAGCAACTGTGTGCAGACCCGAATTGCATAAATGTGGATTTTCTGCCATACCAGCATTGACAATTTAAACTTTGAATTGTTTAGCAACCTCATGAATAATCAACCATTATCATATTAACATTTTGCACCATTAAGATGCCCAGAGCACATTTCGTTATGCATCTACAGACATATACGTATAACATGAATAACATGGCAGGAAAAATCCTTTGTGACAGAAGGACAGTGTCATGGAGTTGCAGGATAATAATTTATAAAATACTCACATGAAATATCAGCCATAAAGATTTTGACCTTTTGGCTGATAATATCGAGAAACCGACACCTAGCAGGCCCTAATGTTAATCACCACAACCATAATATCAAGACAGCTTTAAACATTTCACTGAATAGCATCATTCATTCCTGCACATATAAAGCGTTTTACAGATTGTGAATTTTGCTTTTCCCTGCATTTTTTTAGCCTTTACAAAAATACAGTGACTGTGCCAAGTGGGTTTAGTTACAATTTGCAAACACATAATTGATCAATCAACCAACCAATCATTGGACCTGAGTTTTTATAAATTGCCTGTATGTTATTGTTTGAGTTATAATAGTACAGGATTGCACAGTTTGAATAGCTAAAATTAGCAAATTCCAAAGGCTGCAGTTATAGGCTGAGGTAATATATTATCCACAACAAACAAATAAAATATCCTGTCTCCAAGGGAACGTACTGTGTAAAAACCTGCTGACCCTGTAGTTTACAAACACATTGTAAAAGACAAGGCATGCTTGTATTAGTTTAGCTGTTCATTATATTTCAGTCTTATCTCAAATGCAAATGCTTCTGGATGTATTTACATTGTCCTCTTTGAACTGATTCTTGATTTCTAACCATAAGTCACACGTCTAATTACAACAAACATCTATTTGATATTTTTACCCAAACCTTTGAGCCTTAGTAATAGATACGTTGAACAGTGTTGTTTGATTTGCTCCATGTGGTTTCCACCGTGTCAGCTCACAGCTCTCCGGGGTCTGAGCAGCAGATCAATATTAATCTCTTGTAGTGATTAGCTCAAGTGGTGCCACAGATCCACATCAGCGTGAGGCGCGTTGTGCTTGTCACCAGGCACAGGCGGCTGCACTTACATTCACACTCACTAGAACACTGGAACACTAACACTTGTAAATTGTATTCACAGTCGATTGAATGCTCCTACTTCCTTTGTCCATTTACGATGACGATGATGAAGTTCCCCAATAATTATCTAAAGAGGGCATAGTCCAGTGTTCTTGTCAATTGTTTAGCTTAACATCACTGAAGCATCATAGAATTTACACAAGCAGCCAGGAAATAAATGTATTAATCAATTAATTAAATAATGTATTAAAGATGGCTGATTGTGTGTTGCTGGGCAGTGCTATATTCTTAGCTTATAATATGCTATGCTTTTTGTGTCTAGTTTTAGCCATGGTGTGAAGGCATTCTCTTGGTTAATTTATTGTGCACTGCTTTGCATACAAAAAATACATTTACATAGAAATTGGCAATGATTTTTATCCACAGCCTTGTTTCATTGCAAAGCTATGAACACATACAGAGCTATGAATTTAGTCCATCGCAATTTGTATTGGTTTTATATGTAAAATAATAGTGCATAATTTATGCATAATTTATGTGTATTGACAGACCCTCTGTGTGTGTGTGTGTGTGTGTGTGTGTCATCTATGAGGGCAATTCCATACACTTATCATGATTGAATAATAGAGAAAATATCAACTGTCAGATAATGTTGAATTTACAAATTCTGTATACCATGCTGCTTTGGTCAAAGCAAAGCATAGCATAACACCTCCTATTTAGTCTTAAATATAGGAAAAAGTCTGTCGATTTAGTCAATTTATATGAGTGTCTTAAACTGTGTTAGGGGATAACAGTAGCACTATAGTATTTCAAATTGTGCGTTGTGCTAATGCAGAGACACATGCTATATTTAGGTGTGAGGACTGGGTGTACTTGAGCACGATGGCAGCTCATGTGAATGAAGTGATGTCACACAACTCTCTGTGCTCTGTGTTACAGTGGAGGTGAAGAGCGGCCTCCCGTCCAGCATGCACAGTCTGGTCGGAGCAGCTGGAGAGCAGAGAGGAGTGCCTGGAGACACTGGTGAGTACCAGTCCAACTGCTCTTCAGACACTAACAACCAGCAATGGGGAGACAGCACACAAATACACGTATTTGTGTGCTGTTTGTGTATGACTCTGTATTTGAGTAAGAGAACGACAATAACTGAAAGATCCATATGAAAACTGTCAGAGTAATGTTTTGAACCTCATTACAAGCTTCTTTGCTTAAATGCAATCTTTTGTTCCAGCCCAAAAAATAGGAGGGCTACAGATTCACAGTTACAGGTTAACTTCACATTTTATGCCATATTTCAGCTACAATATGGACTGCAAAAATTTTTTTTTCGCCATATCGCAAACCTATACTTTTTATCAGATTAGAACTGTTTTTAATATACATTTGTCTTTGATGGAGTTTTTGTGTGTGTGTTTTAAAGATAAGTAACATGTAGTTGTTGCTGTTTGATTAAGGCTTCAATACAGTAAACGACACATGCATAAAAAGAAATTATTTTAGTGAGCGCTGCAGTCAAGTGTTTCGCATTTTGTTCCGGACATTTTGAGCTGTTTACAAAAAGCTATCATTACATGTCATTTTCTTCCACTCACTTTTATAGCAACAAAAGAATGAAATAAAAGAGTGAGTGAGTGGGTGCTGCAGGAGCTGCTTAATGTGGTCACAGAGAATGGCTCTCTGTGCACTTGATCATAATTATATGTGAACACGGCACAGCTCCACTTTCTCTTTCAGACAAGCATGACTTGGGCTTGTCTGTGGACTTATTCAGTTCATGATGAACTGTAGAGATATGTACCTTCGTCTAGGTACAAACTAATAATCAGCTGTAAACTACACTGTAATAATTACTGTCTGATTATTATAATCTTGGGAGGCTGATTTTGTAACACACTTAATATTGAATGAATTTTTCATTAGGAGTTTAGACATCTGAAACATTAGTCCTGTGTCCTGAGACAGAATGTAAGTAGTTTTTACAGCACTACACTGTAGGTGCCTTCCAAATGTGAATTAAGGAAACTCTTATTTATGGACAGCACAAATAATGGTGCGTAGGAGAGTTCCTGAGTGCACTCTATGTTCCAGGTGGGGGTCAGGGAGAGGGGCCGGCAGGAGCAGGAGGCCCAGTGGACCTGCGCACAGAGCCCAGGCCAAGCTCTCTGTCTGGGAGCAGCACAGCCGTGGACACAGCCCTGAGAGAACAGCAGCTCCAACAGGAACTGGTCCTCCTCAAACAGCAGCAGGAGCTTCAGAAACAGCTGCTGTTCGCCGAGTTTCAGAAGAAACACGAAGTTCTGACCAGACAACATGAAGTGCAGCTACAGGAGCACCTCAAGGTACTGCCCCTGCCACATTGTCCACTGTCTCACTTATTATATACAGTATTCAGTAGAGATGTAGTACTTGTGTCACACAACTTTACCATTAACATTCAAGATGTTCACAAACCTTCTAAAATGCTAAGTTTGCCCTGGCCCTGTATTTGGCTTCAAAATGGCTTTGGTGCTTTTGGTCTTCAAGTATATGAATTAACTGATGTGCTAGCCTTAAACTAGCCTTAATCTTCAATGCTGTATTGTATGTGTCATTGGATCACATCGCTCATTATAAACACATGGCTCTGTTGTGTGCCTCAGCAACAGCAGGAACTTCTGGCAGCCAAGCGTCAGCAGGAGCTGGAGCAGAAGAGGAAGCTGGAGCAGCAGAGGCACGAGGAGCAGGAGAAACAGAGGCTGGAGCAGCAGCTGCTTCTGCTCAGGAACAAGGAGAAGGGCAAAGAGAGTAGGCCTACTCCTGCCTTTAGCTCATACAGGCCTGTGTCACACCGTCCACCCCAGCCTACACGTCTCTCCTCTGGTCTTCTAGGTGCTATTGCCAGCACAGAGGTCAAGCTGAAGCTGCAGGAGTTCCTCCTCAATAAGAAAGAGCCTGGCCCTGGTGGACTCAACCATTCCTTCTCTCCAAAATGCTGGTGAGAAGTTCATTATGAACACAGTGTTCAAAAAAAGTGTAGTACTAGACATCTCCTTTTCAGTATAGTATACAGTAGCAAACTTCCTGTTTTCAAAAAAAAGAGTTTTCAATGATAATTGCTCGTGCAGTGACTAAAAGAATGTGAGTAATGTACTCCATACTATGGGTCCATTGGAGCAGGCTTATTTTAGCTTTCTCACATAAACAAAAAGTGGAAGTGTGTCACTGATCTGAAACATCAAACACAATGGCACCATTCACTGTCAGACCTTCAGAGCTCTTGCACCACATCCCCACACTGCAGCAATACAGGACAGCAATAAAACAGCGATGCACACAAAATGTCCACATTCATAGAAACAGGAAATAACACTAAATGCATTCTAGGAAATGAAGGAAATGGCTTTAGGATGCTGAGGCTGAGCTCCAGAGACTGCTGCATTACTATTGTTCTAGCAACTAGTTTAACCTGCTTTGTCTTGTTGTGCCTGTACATGCGAGTGCAGTTCTGTTGTCAACACTGTGATAGTAACGTTTAAGCCTTACACATACATGCATTTGTCCCCATATTAAAGTAAAAGTATTTTTATGTGTTCACAGGGGAGGCCAGCACCCATCACTGGAGCAGGGCTCACCTCCACAGAGCAACACCCCAGGAACTCCCCCGTCCTACAAACTGCCCCCTCTGCTGGGCAACTATGAGGGCAAAGATGACTTCCCACTCCGCAAGACAGGTATTGGCCTCTCAGAGTATTTAGATATGTATTCAGGAGTACTAAACCTCAACTTTTTTTGGTTTTATTTATTATTTAAATAACAAAAAAAATCACATTGGAGCTGCAATCCACAATCTGTAAATGAAAGTTTGGATAGCACTTTCAATATTTTACCTTTTTTGTCATTAGCCTAAATAGCCCACTAGTATTAGGTACTGCGGTCACCCATTAGCCTGACCTCATAAACTTAATAACTGAAGTGTAAACAGCCTTTTAATCTACATCCTACTACAATCCTACAAATAGATAAAAGCCTGATTTAGTCTCATTGAATCAAGGATACTATAGCAGCTCATCTGGTGAACAATCTGCCAACAAGGTCTGGCAGCCAAAGTTGGTTACACATCGTATCCGGCTTAACGCTGGCAGAAGTAAAAGAAGTTACAATACCTCCTGAAAACTTGGCGAACGAATAAATCCTAATAGGATTACATAAGTGACACCAATGGCAATTCTTTTATCTTATTTTCTGTATTTTACTTTTAGTGTCCGAGCCAAACCTCAAAGTGCGCTCCCGGTTGAAGCAGAAAGTTGCAGAACGCCGGAGCTCTCCGCTACTCCGCAGGAAAGATGGAACAGTCATCAGTACATTCAAGAAAAGAGCCATAGAAATATCTGGTAAGTATTTATTAATATTGATTTCTCTGTTCATATCCAACACTACTTTGCTTCTGAATGTTAGAGAGTGCCAGATTTCTGAATTATACTGGAACTCATTACCAAAACATTAACACAGGCACATTAACCTCAATGAGTTCAAGTCTCAGATCTCACTTTATTAGATTTTCCAGGGTTGTGTTGTGGATTTTAAAAATGTGTTATTTTTGTGTTTCTCTCCAGTGTCGTCTCTGTGTAACAGCGCTCCTGGTTCAGGTCCCAGCAGCCCCAACAGCTCCAACTCAGCCATCGCCAACGGCAACACGGGATCTGTCCCAAACATTCAAACGGAGGTACACACATGCTCTTTTATGATTGTTTATGTAAACACATTTATGACAAATTTAAGACTTTACCAACAAAAAATTTATAATTTGCACATATATGGACTATAAAAATGACCCACCGAGAGGTTTGCCAAGGAGTAATATACAGATATTATAACATATCAAAACAGTAAATGTGAATGTAAAATAATTATATACACTAACAACATGAATGTATGGTGATGTGCCTACAGCTGAGATCTCTGCACCAGACGCTAGGGGCTGATGGGACATTGAGTCCTTTGAGTCTGTACACATCCCCCTCGTTGCCCAATATTTCCCTGGGACTCCCTGCCAACACACATATCACGGTGAGTCTCTTTCACACGTATGCTCCCACACACTCTCTTCTATAGGCTCAATATGCACAAACTGTCTGCAAATATGGCCCACCATATGCATTGTCAGGCGCCCATATGTTTTGGATGTCTTCATTTGGCACACAGATTGTTCTGGTGATGCAAAGAATACATTGTTTAGCAGCTGATCTCTTTAAAGTGATGTCAGGCCTAATGCTTAGGGTGCAAACCATTTGAACTCTGAAACTCAAGTGATGTCATAATACTGTCCTGGTCAAATTAAAAACACTGTTACTGCTCTAAGGCTTTCATCTACACTGCTGTAGGCAGTGGTGAGAACTTGACTTTATTATTTTAAAACACATTTTTTCAATGAAGTTTTTGTAAGGGGCTGGCTAGATAGACTGCCAATATTATTTGTCCTGTTGTGAAATAGAAACATGACTGAAAACTACTAATATGAATAACTTTTATCTTCGTTCTCCAGGCATCACAAAAATTGACGGCTCAACAGGAAGCAGAGCGTCAAGCCATCCAATCACTACGAGGGGGCGGGGCTCTAACAGGAAAGTTTCTTTCCACGTCCTCACTACCTGGAGGTACTGAAACTTATATAATGTTATTCATTAAAACACATGCAAGGACTTAATAACACACATTTTAAGTGTTATCTACAAAATATTTAAAAAATATTTTTCAGGGGTTGGCCATGACGTAGAGACTCCACCCCCAAGCTCCCATTCTACCCATTCCTCTTTGTTGCAACACGTGTTACTGCTGGAACAAGCCCGGCAGCAGAATGCCATGCTCGCTGGTACATACACACTCACTTAAACACCTCCTCATGTTGTCAGACAAAGAACTGTACATAGTAAATGTGTCTCTATGCTCACAGTCCCTATGTACAACCAGTCACCGTTGGTTACAGCTGAGCGAGGTGTGTCCAGCAGCATGCGTCCTGTCAACAAGCTGCCTCGACACCGGCCCTTATCCCGCACACAGAGCGCCCCCCTGCCCCAGTCGCCCCAGGCCCTGCAGCAGCTCGTGGTCCAACAGCAACACCAGCACTTCCTGGAGAAACACTACAAGGTACAACCCTCACTAAACAGCAAAAAGACTCACCATACAGGCATACCCTAGATACCATAACATATAGTGACTGTGTGTTCTTAGATGTTGTCCAAGGGGGCGGAGCTTCCCAGGCCTCCACCCACACATCCCGAAGAAACAGAGGAGGAGCTAACAGAGACCAATGACATGCAGGAGGATGATGCCGAGCCCAGGCTTTACAGGTACGGTTGTTAATTGTGTAGTTTTATACTATTTCAGATTTTTTCTAAACACACATAGGTGTCTATAATAGAGACACTGATAATAAATATGGTCTTAGCATGTCAAACAATAAGATTTCTTGACAAAATATTTATGCAGAGCTGTTTATCAAAGGAAGTTGTTGTTTAAATTGTGAACTTATTGCACTGGCTCTGTTGTTTTCAGGCTACAGAAGGACGGGTCTGACGAGAGCATGCCCTCCTCAGAGCGACTGGGCGTGCATGTGAAGGGCGAGGAGGAGCGAGGGAGTGTGCACGTGAAAGGAGAGAGCACGGAGAGCGAGCTGGATGAGGAGGAAGAGGATGATGATGTCATCCAGCTGAGGGAGGGCGATGAAGATGAGAGAGGCTACAATCAGGTGTGTGGCGCTCTCGCCATAATGCAGTACTGCAGGACTGTTCAGGACAAGCACGCTGGCCCATAAGCAAAAGATAATGTTACTTTAATCACATCAGCTTAATAGCATCCAAGCTTTCAAGTAAGATCAAAGGTACCTGATTTTTGCATTCTTAAAAACATGAAAAATATAACTAGATCTTTTTAAACAGTTTCTTCACTTACTTTATGCATTCTGAGCATCGTAATTATGCACCGCTTTGAGTTTATAAGCTCTTTTGACAACCCTCAGCAGACCAGAGCTGAGTTTGCAGTAACAACAACTAGCATGCTAATATGTACTTCCTGATTATCAGACAGTAAAACACTTCAAAATTAGATGAAACGTCATGCAGCAGACATATTTTGACTTTATACAATATCTCCTGGAGCAAGACAAAAACTCACTCTGAATCAGTCCTATTTATTTTACCTCCTATCAATAAAATGTCTTTTTAATTTTTCTTTATCACACTCTTGTTACAGCTCATCTTGACTTTGCTTTATTGCATCCAACCCAGGTTTATGATAGCAGTTACACTCTACAAATCACCTCATAAAAAAGATGGTAGTGGCGATATGGGTTAGCTCTATTTGATTCCCAACTGCGCTCGCACTTATTGAGGCGTCATTTGTCCATTGTTAAAACAACAAAGCTTGTGTTTACGCCGCGTCATAAACACAGGGGATGAATCACGCTGTGCATCAGCAGCCCACCTCTGCTGCTCCCAGCCTCACTCTTAAGCTCCATGGCAGAGGCAGTTGTGCGCTAGTGTTGTGACTCATCTGAAACGCGTCGGCCCGCTCCTTCAGGTGATTCTCACCCTCCCACAACTGTCTGTTATTGTGATAAATACATTCTTTTTTTTAGAAACAGCCAATACAATTTTCGTTCTGTTTGTATACATGAGTCAAAGGGATGCTGGTTAGGCCTGTTAAAATAGAAGTATATTCTGGTAGCATACACAGTCAAAAAGAAAATGTATTGATTGTATTGCACATAGCCTCCAGCTCGGTGAGGTACAGTGAGCTGCTTCTAACGGAAGGAATTAAGGTTAAGGTACACTTTATGGTTCCCGTAGGGAGGTTTGCCCTCTGCATTTGACCCATTCTTCAATGTCACTGGGGCATCTCCTCAGGAGCAGTGGGCACTGTTCAGGGACCCATTTCCATGGTCTTGTGCTAGGCTTTATCACCTTAGCTGGGGGATTTGACCTATTGTGCATGTTCTGAGTTGATTACACTTGCACACTGAAGCTTTAAAAAAGGGCTGCACAAATTCAAAACAAGCGATTTTTCTGGTGACTGTTGTAATTGCGATACAGTTCTGTGAAGTATGTTTAAAAAGCTGAATTGTGTGCACATTGTAACATTGTCAACTTCTGGGGCATTAGTATTTGAGCAAAGACTGGGATATGACCTGCAAAACTATTACAAAAATCCCATGTTTATAGATATTTAAACTGTAGGTACAATGAGATCTTTCTATAAAAGACATATAGACAGTATAGATTGTTGTTTGTAGTGTACATTCGTTTTGCAATTTGATAATCTCTCCAACTCAATTTGAAATTTGTTTTGACTGCGACATATTGTGCAGCCCTGCTATTAACTGAAACGCTCTACAAGTTGAGCAGTTAAGTCCTTGTGTCACTATGGATAATGCTGCCGCTCAACACAGAGTTATACTGTTTGATTTCCTGAAAGCCAAAAAAGGTCCTGTTTACCCACAACATGCCACTCACTTTTGCTTCTTTGTGTCAGTTTGGCAGTTGGCTTGCACACAGTTAATTTAGTTGATGCATAACAGAATAATATAAAATGCTAATAGGAACCGTTCGTAAATGGCAGCCAATTTAAAGTCAAACTATTCTTTATATATCGGTGTTGAGTGGGCGCAGTTTGATTGACACATGAGCTGAAGGCAGGAGGAAGAGGCATAGTTTTAATAGGGCTATTGAAAAGTGACGGCCACATCATGTTGCATTTACTAGTCTGACTAATTGACATTTAAATGACAAGATCTCTGAGGAAGAGCATTGACATGGAGAGCGTGGAGGGGACTGTGAAAAGTACAGGCACTAATGATGCATGACATAGTTTGATTGACAGAGCCAACGTGTTGCACAGCCAATAGAAATAGATGAACTTGATGTCCATTTGGCATAAATACATTACATGTGAAATACATTTTAGCTAGGTTATTTTATGGATTTTTAACCCCTGCTCTCACAAGAGGAAATGAAAGCGCTACTATTTATATCTTTAGATCAGTTCACAATTTATGCAGCTTCTATCCAATGGCCCTAATTTTTCAGAATGATGACAAAGAAAAGGTCCTATGCTACGCAAAATTGATTCTTGTGATCTTTTAGGCATGTTAGAGTGTTGTTATCTCCTCAAAAATATACCTGGAGTTGTGTTTTGTTTCTTTCACACATGTTTGAGTAACCCTGATTTATCTACATTTTATGGATTGTTTACAACGCCAAAGTCTCCTATGTTGAATCCTTATTATCACTGATGTATTTAGAAGAGTCTTTAAAGACCCTGTATTACACAAAACTGGCTCTTGTGACTGTAAGCATTAAGCCATGTTATAATTGTGGTACCTTCTCAAAACATACCCAGAGTTGTATTTTGTTTCACTCACACATGTTTGCTAGAGAAATCCTAGTTTATTAGTCTGTCTACATGCTCTGTTCCACCTTGTGATGTCATGCAGTGTTAGTTTTCAAGTTACCAGCAACTTTTGTACGATCTTTAATAACCATCATCAGTTCAGTAGAGATTAGGGCTGGGTATCATTAAGAAGTTGCCAATACGATACCTACCTCGATACGTAGGTCACAATGCGATACATGTCTCGATACAGTGCGCTTTCAATTCAGTACGATATATATTTCAGATCGATTAGAATCGGTTCAATAAAAAATAATGGCTAAATCATGGCTGTGATGCTTAAAGTCTTTGTTAAATCACTTCTTGTGCAAAATGAATACGAAACACACACATTTTAATAATCAAAACAGTGAAAATATTCAAATGTGTCGCATAAATCAGTTTCCTTCCTCTAAACAAGCAACAACACTGTTAGCCTGATTCATCAGCCAGTTTCTATGAAATTAAACTGTTTCTACGGTTTCTACGAAGTGAAACTGGCTGATGAATCAAGGTTTTTGTGAACTGTCTAGTGTATTCCGATTCCAGACCTAGTTGCTGGAGAGAAATGAAATTGAGCAGAGGCACTAGGTGGCGCCACCTGGGCTACAAAACTGTAGCACTGTAACAAAATAATTTAGTAAAATACACCAAAAAAATACTCTTGGTGATATGTCGATACAGCAGACCACGATAATGATACTGTATCACATTAAATGGCATGATATATCGATATTTTGATATTTTTGCACAGCCCTAGTAGAGATGATCAATTCTAGAGGTTAAATTATCCAAATGATTCTAGAGAAGGTGTATGAAGTATTACCATACCATAGCCATATTACCATATGACATCACAAGGTAGAACAGAGCCTAAATAAGCAGGATTTGTGTGTTAAAACATCTGTGAATGAAACAAAACACAACTCCGGGTATGTTTTTGATGAGGAAACATTAAATTTAACATTATTATAACATTATAACTGAAAACAACATAATAAAGACCCTTTAAACTCCTGTCTCAAACACTTGATTAGTCCTAATAGTTGAATGCTTCATGTCTTCACTGTCACTGCTCTTTTGGAGAGTTGATATCCACACCTGCACTTTGAGCACAACTCTTGGACCTTTATTTACATTGATAGCCCTGGCTGATGACACTGCTTTAATGCCAGACTCCAGAGGAATTTGTCTGACTTCAGAATCCATCATCAATTTGTACTTTTTGTGCGCCTTGAGTGGAGGGTGAGTCATCGGCAGTGAGCGCTGACATTTCGCAGAGGAGGGGGGATTTGAATAGAAATGCTAGATGTGTGCTGCAGCATTTTTGTCATTAGTGCACATTTAAAAAGTGTGAAAGCCTCGCTGTTGGTTGTCAGTCCAGCTGTACGCTTGACACATGGCAGTGACATCATCAAGCGGTGACTCAACCCCTGGACGCACCGCTGTGGAGCTGTGTGTTTGTGTGTATTTGTGTGCGTTTGTGTGCGTTTTTAGTTGTCCACCCACTCCTGATGAGTCACCTCCAGCACAGCAGGGCCACAGCAACGCCAGCTATATATAGACAAAAGTGGAGATGCAGGAGGAGTCGGTCAAAGTGGCTAAAAGATGATGGTCATTAGAAGCCCAGACTGCGGGGACAACAGTGTCTAATGTGTGAAGACAGAGCTGTGGGACGACACATGTGGACAGGATGTGTCCCCTAAGCCACTGTTTCCCAAACTACTTATATTCACTTTGATGATTAGTCATGTGCATACATACGTACAACACACTTGATGCAAATGGTTGTAAAGTAAAAAAGAGATTTAGTTAAAATCACAGCTTCATCTTCATCCAGTTCTAGTGTGGTTCACATTTGTTGTTGCATTGTGTGAACAGTGTGTTTACGTCAGTAGACCTCACACCTCTACAAAATATTATAGTGAGGATAAAATAGACTACAAACTTCACTGAGTCAAATGATTCTGGCCACTCAGTTCTGCAGGAATCCAATGAATGAAGTGTGCTCTCATTAATGCTTCAATGATGACTCATATCTTTCTCTTTTTTCCCATCAGGCCTTGCAGCAGGTTGGAGTGTTCCAGTCGGCGCTGCCCCACAGAACTCTGGGTAGAACGCAGTCGTCTCCCGCCACAGCGACTGTCAATCCCATCAAGCACCTCTTCACCACCGGTCAGTGTGCTGCCTGTGGAGCTGGACTGTGATTGGATGACACCTTCACTTTAACTCTGCTAACATACGCCACAAGGCTTGTTGCCTAGCAACAGAGAGCTAACAGTGTGCTGTCCAACATCTCAAGTGAACCAAGTAGACTGAAATACAGACCATTATTTAATCATATTTATTGTTTGTCACTCATTTCTTCCTTTACATGAGTCATTGTTTTTGATGTGTTTATTAAGATGTCATGATATTCTTAAATGCAACTGAATGTTCCCTAGGCTTTCTTAAAGGTTGTATAGAGGATTTTCCAAGGAACGAGAAATCCAGCGACTGTTTGTCCTTTTTCAAATGTTGCGCATGCGTGAAACCACCCCCCCTCCCCTACAGCTCCCTACGTAGAAACGCCTCCTCCCGCCTCCTCCTTACGCCAGAAACAGGTTTGTTTACAGCCGGTGCTGCACATGACTTGTAAACAACTAACTACAGTGTTGGTTAGGCAAGACGGAGAAGTGAGGAGCGGGGGGAGCGGGTGTGCGGACATTTCGTTCGCGGACGAGAAGTGAGGAGCAGGGAGAAGAGCGGAGCAGGGAGAGAGGAGAGGAGAGAGGAGAGGGGAGCGGTGCGCGGAGATTCCGTGCCCGGAGAAGTGAGGAGCAGGGGGAAGAGCGGAACGGGCAGCGGGGACAGGAGCAGGAAAGGGGTGCAGAGAGGTTGCGCGGAGATTCAGTGCGAATGAACTAGCTACAACACGCAGCAGCAAGCGGACTCTTTCTTTGCCTTGAAAATTACGTTTTCAGACATAGGATATCGCTTTCGTGTCCTGAAAAACGTTTGTCTAGCTCTTGGAAATAAAGTACCTTTTCATAATAAGCAGAAGTGACCTGTCCAGGAGTAACTTGGCAACCAATGCGTCAGTCTTTAGACCCTGCGTCTGCTTCAGTTGCGCCATCGCTGGAATGAATCTATAAGAATCACCTTAGTTTGGCTTCGCTGCTTTTCCCCTTGTCTTCTTCTTTCAGCAATCTCAAAAACTGACTTTCTTTTGCAGCTAACTGCTCCTGGATTCTTGTCTGCCATTGCAACAAACTTTGTGCTAACTGCGAGGAAGATATAGGTCAAAAAAAGCCGCTAAGAACTGTTGCGTTGGTGAAGTAAACAGCGTCTGTGCGTCTTGCGTCTGTGGACTGTGTGACAGGCGTACGCAAACCACGTACCGGCGGCGCGCAGGCAAGTCAGTTACGCTAGAAACGTAGGGAGTTTGATTGACAGCCTGTCAGCTCACAGATAATGAGGCAATGTCGTTATCTATTGGCAAATGTTTAGCTGGCCCCACCACATCCAGAGTTGATGAATTTTTATTCTCTTTTTTTTGGTCATCATAATTACAAGGCTACTGCACCTCTATAATGCTATCATTGACAACTTGAAACAAAAAAAAATCCTCCATACAACCTTTAAGACACATAAGGTACATTTGTACCACCTCTCTTTTACCTGCAATAATTGTATGTTCTTAAACGTTGTCTCTCTTGAGTCTCTGACTAGGTACATTATGATGCATTAGGAGATTATTGATATCTGCATTATATGTGGATTAGAGATGTTATTATGAAGCTGGCTCTCCTTTTTTCTTAAAGAAACTACAGTTAACGCTGAAATAGTGAGGATTAAAGCATTAATGAGTGTAGTTGAGCAGTGTGAGATGTGGTTCTGTTGTTGGTGTGTGCAGGGCTTGTTTATGACAGTCTGATGCTGAAACACCAGTGTATCTGTGGGAACGCTCACATCCACCCGGAGCATGCGGGCCGTGTGCAGAGCATCTGGTCCAGACTGCAGGAGACGGGCCTGCTGAGCCGCTGTGAGGTACACACCACAATGTCTGTTATTACATCAACTTTGCTTCTGTTAACGCACATGAGCAGCTACAGTAGTCGTCAGATATCTCCATTATTTGTCTGGCAGATTTAAATGATTGAAAGATTTTTCACAAACCCAAAATCCATACATAGTGATCATTTCTATATGAAGCTAAAGACATTGATGTACAAATGCTGTATTATGAGAAAACAAACTTATTTGAAACTATTATTTATGTCAAAGGATCCATCTTTTAAAAGCCACTGCTACATATCATTCAGTGCAGGATTAAATAATGCATAATAATTGCATAATGCTGTCCCATCTGTCTGAAAATACTGTTTCTCGGTATTTTAGTCAAATGCCAAAGAGCCTGTTGCTTTCCTCTGTCTTGTGCGAATGGAAAAGCGTTATAGCTTTACTCATCATTGTGTGTGTGTGTGTGTGTGTGTGAGCAGAGGATCCGTGGGAGGAAAGCGTCTTTGGATGAGATCCAGACGGTCCATTCAGAGTTCCACACTCTGCTCTACGGCACCAGCCCGCTCAACCGCCACAAACTGGACCACAAGAAGCTGCTAGGTACAGTCCCCTCTGCCTGTCTGCCTGGGACAGACTCTCAGCCATCACTTTACACTCATCCATAACATGTGTTCCCAATGTCCAGGTCCAATCAGCCAGAAGATGTATGCTGTTCTCCCCTGTGGCGGCATTGGGGTAAGAGACATCATCTACTGAAACTACATAAAGCGGAGACTTTTCACATTAGCAGTTATTGGAAGGATGTTCTTGTTGCCTTTGAATGTGGTATGCAAGTGGTTATTGTAGGCAGCCACATTTCCTTCAGGCAGCTCCAGGGCAGCTGTTGCCACGCTCCACCACAGAGTGTGGAGAGTGTTTTGGTTGTTTCCTCTCTGTTTTTACTTGAACTATTTCTTTCAAGCCATTTTTATACTGAAGTGCACCACTTTAGGATGCAATGACTTGGCATAATGTTTTTAAAGAATTATTACCTTATGTTTTTTCTGCTCTACAGTTTTAATCTTTGACACCAGGGGATCATTACTTTATGTTTTGGGCAATTAATTGCAATATTGATCTAAATGTACTTTTTATTTTATTGTATTTTATTTATTTATTTCATAAACAAATGCACTGATTTGAATTTAATAATTGTGGTGCTATTTCCTCCTGCCCCATTACGGTACGTTGCCGTGGAACACATCCAGATGAAAAGCGCTGCCAGAGTATTTCAAAAGCCCCGCCTATTAGCTGCAGTACACAGTAGCAAACAATAGATTTGCCAAAATGGCTATGCAACTCTTCTGAATCCTTTGATTCACATATTGGGGGGAAGGTTGATGAAAACAGGAATTTTACAGCACTGGCGCCTTGATTTCAGGAGAATAAAGATGCATGAATCACTAAATACATAATTGGATAAAATGGGTAAATGAGAAGGAAACACATGATTAAGATTAAGGTCTTCAGTTTTACATAATATGTCCCCTTTAAACATTTTGCTCAACATGACCAAAGTTACTTTCACTATAGATCTTTGTATAATTTTGTTTTGTAATTTTGAACATTTTCAAGTAAATCAGGTCACCCTGCAAAGAAAGTCTGAATCAGCATCTATATAAATATTACTAGGGTTGAACTGAGGTGAGAACAGGACCAAACAACATCCTAAAAGTTAACCAATGGACTAAAGGCAAACATGAAGTACCTAAAGGCAATGAGAAACTGGAGTTAACTATAGTCAGGCCACTACTCAGCAGTAATTTTTTTTGCACAATCCTTTAAAGAACAACAAATTTATCTTTACATTTTGTAAATGTTAATCACTCATGTATGTACTTTATTCAAGCACACTCTTGGTGTAAAAACGAAATGCATTGCTGAAATGAACTGTCTCCATTGACCCTGTACTGCCCCCTACAGGTGGACAGTGACACAGTGTGGAATGAGATGCACTCCTCAGCGGCCGTGCGCATGGCAGTGGGCTCTGTCATTGAGCTGGCCTTTCGAGTGGCAGCGGGGGAGCTCAAGGTAACACACACACAAACATACACAAGCACACACAAACATACACACAAACACACACAAGTGCACTCTGTTTTTGTGCTCCTCTAATAATAAATCTAAAGGCACAGGGCCAGAACAAGGCCAGGGGACCTTCATCTGCTCACAGAAACAGGAAATCTACACATTCTCTCTGCACTTTACACATGTAATGTGTGTTTTGGGTGTTTGCTGTTTAAGTTCTTTTAAACTTCCCTCTTACTGGAATGTTCCCTGTTACAAAGACAATGTTTAAGGGATATGTTAAAGCAATGAGACTGTTGAGTGATGATTTTATAACTGTACTTTGTCTTACTTTTTAACCTGCTCCTGGGTTTTGCATTATGTTGTTTAAAAATGTATGACCAATTGTTTGTTAAGTGCCCACAGACAAAGATAATATTATAGGCCATATAAATTATTGTCTTTCATTATGTGAGGTACAAATGATTTATTACATATTCTGAACTGTCTTTGTGTTGTGTTTACCAGAATGGCTTTGCAGTTGTGCGACCACCAGGGCACCATGCAGAGGAGTCCACTGCCATGTCAGTACAAAGGACCGCTTACTGTACATCCTTTAATACTGTTCTTTACTCTGTGATGGTTTATAACCTGTTATCATCATCTGACCACAGGGGCTTCTGCTTCTTCAACTCAGTTGCCATCACTGCCAAGTTACTGCGACAGAAACTGGGAGTGGGCAAAGTCCTCATAGTAGACTGGGTAAACTCTCAGCTTATACTCACCATAAAAAGCAGTTTTACAATGAACTGCTTGGAAAACATGGGAGAGGTCTAAAGTCACATCTTTGCTGCAGGACATTCACCATGGCAACGGGACCCAGCAGGCGTTCTACAGCGACCCCAACATCCTCTACATCTCCCTGCACCGATACGATGACGGGAACTTCTTCCCTGGCAGCGGCGCCCCTGAGGAGGTACTGCTATTTCAGTTCCTGCTCCTCCTTCACGCACACATGAGCATGTAGTAACAAACATGAGCATGTAGTAACAAACATGAGCATGTAGTAACTCTCACATGAACATGTAGTAACAGTAGTATTTCTGCAGGTGGGATCAGGTGCAGGTGTGGGCTTCAATGTAAACATCGCATGGACTGGAGGAGTGGATCCACCCATGGGGGACGTGGAGTACCTCACTGCTTTTAGGTAAAGGACTGTACAAAATTGAGTTAAATGTGCTGTAACACATTGTTAAAGCATTTGCTACCTTTATGAAATGAAAATAACAAAGACATAAACCATAATGAGAATGTAGTGCCTGGTGATCTGTCCACACACATGTAGATGTGCTACTGAGTTTCTCTGTGTTCTGCAAATGTGATGTGTCTGTGAGCACACACACAGGTAAAGCAGTGTGAGCACACTGTGAAGCTGTGAACAAAGCCACATCACAGTGTGTTCAACTGTGAAGTAACAGGATTCCAACGTGAGAAGTAGGGATGCCCTCCCGCAGCGACAGGCTTTTAACAACATGAGTCTTGACTTTAACTCTGTATTTGTATCTCAGGAGTGTGGTGATGCCCATTGCCCAGCATTTCAGCCCTGATGTGGTGCTGGTGTCCGCAGGCTTTGACGCAGTGGAGGGACATCAGTCTCCTCTGGGGGGGTACAAAGTCTCAGCTAAATGTGAGTACACCTGCTTACCACAGTGAGGGTGCCTGGTTCATGTGTTTTGTGATGGGGTGCCACATTATTGCGGGTGTTGTTTGTGGGCAGGTTTCGGTCAGCTGACGCAGCTCCTGATGGGTCTGGCTGGTGGGCGGGTTGTCATGGCGCTGGAGGGTGGTCATGACCTCACTGCCATCTGTGACGCCTCGGAGGCGTGTGTATCTGCGCTGCTGGGAGAGCCGGTGAGACACAGCACCTGCCACTGCCCTACTGCTTTTGACAATAGGGCAGAGACACCACTCTGTGACACTGCAAGACTTCTACTTCTGTTGTTGGAAGTTTAAAATACTTTTCAATAACAATAATAGATAAGAATCTAACAATTAGGACCCCCTTAAACATGGACAATATTAATGATTAATATGTAATAACACAATAAATAACACAAATATAGACTGCCTCAGTCCAGGCGGGCAGCGTGGACTGACTCTTTTAAAATATACTGTCTTCATTTTATCATTACTGCAGCATTATGCATGAATGAATAAATAAATAAATAGACTAGTAAAAACAGTTTGTTATTATTTATAATATATTTTAAAGCTATATTAACTGACATTGTACATGGTTCTGCTACAGCATGGTGCCATCTAGTGTTGAAACATTTAACTACCACTTTAGAGCAATTAGCAGTACACTTGTCTTACTATTTGTTTAGTACATTTGATTTGTTCTTTGAGTGATTTTATGTGTGTGTTTTACTGTGTGTCAGTGTGAGTCGTTCCAGTGGCCTCAGGAGCAGCCCTGTCCAAAGGCGTATTCGTCACTCGAGGCTGTCATAGACATCCAGAGTAAGCAACAGCTTGTTCACTTTCATAATACTTCTCTAGTGTGTGTCATGTGTGAGACGGTCTGACTGTGGTGTCCCTTAGGTAAACACTGGCCCTGTCTGCACAGCCTGTCCCCGTCCACAGGACACATGCTGCTGGACAGTCCCCAGGGACAGTCAGAGAGGGACGAGGCCGAGACCGTCAGTGCCATGGCCTCTCTTAGTGTGGACGTGGAGTCCAGCTCTGCAGCAGACAGCTCCCACACCACAAGGTCTGAGACTACACTGTCACTAGAGCAAAGCATCAGTAGTTTATTACCAACTTTTCTACTGGACAAACAAACCAAGCACTATCCTCTCGTGCTGTTATGCACCACTCACATGAAACTCCACTCACAGCCCCACAAGTGTCTCCCGTATGACAGCTGAAGCAACAATTCAGCTACACACTGTCTGTGGTCCTTCACATTTATGTAAAGCAGTACACTCCCACTAGATAAGAAGTTTTATATATATATATATATATATATATATATAATATATATATATATATATATATATATATATATATATATATATATAATATATATATATATACATATATATATATATGTGTGTGTGTGTGTGTGTGTGTGTATGTATGTATGTATATATATATATATATATACACACACACACACACACACACACACACACATATACACATATATATATATATATATATATGTATATATATATATATGTATATATATACATATATATACATATATATATATTAGTGCTGTCATGCGATTAAAAAATTGAGAGATTAATTAATTATGATCTGTAATTAATTAATCTAATTAATCTCATTTTAATATCACCTAAAAATTGCTGAGAAAAGCCTTCAATTTGAGGTATTTTCATTTAAATTCATTATTACATTATTGTGGCAGATCAAAAGACTGATATAGAACAAAAAAAAGTGACTTTAAAAAGTAATTTATTGTTTAACAAATCTCTTCAAATTGGCTGTTGAGCCCAAGTCTCCATGAATAAGAAACTGTTTGCTGTAAAGTAGCAAAGACGAGGAAATCTGAACATAATAACTTTTGTCTACTTAAAGACAATAAAAAGTCCAGTCTTTCCTTAACCATATTAAAAATATTATTGATAGAGAAATGCTTTATATATGAGATCACTGGTTTTAGTCCTTGTTTTAGTCCTGGTTTAGACCTACTTTAGTCCTAGTTTAGTCCTGGAATGGGTTAATCCTGGTTTTAGTCCTGGTGTTAGTTCTGGTTTGGTCCTGGTTTAGACCTGGTTTAGACCTGGTTTTAGTTCTGGTTTTAGTTCTGGTTTAGTCCTGGTTTAGTCCTGGTTTTAGTTCTGGTTTAGTCCTGGTTTAGACCTGGTTTTAGTTCTGGTTTTAGTTCTGGTTTAGTCCTGGTTTAGACCTGGTTTTAGTTCTGGTTTTAGTTCTGGTTTAGTCCTGGTTTAGACCTGGTTTAGTCCTGGACTGGATAAGTCCTGGTTTTAGTCTTGGTGTTAGTTCTGGTTTAGAGGCGCACAGGAGGAAGCGCGGTTTACGCAGTGTACGCGAGAAAACACGATCCACACGCGGCTCACGGGAGCACGTCGGTGTCCGCGCAGTAACTACGGAAGGAAACGTGGTCCGCGCGTTCTCAGGTTAATGACGATGATGAAGGTGTGTGTTTGTTTGTGTGTGTTTGTGTATAGGACAGTAGTGCAGACATCATGAACCTATGCAGGTTGTTTTCACCAGTGACATTTAAGTTGTTGGCAATATTATATTTTACCTGTGCACTGCTGACTCTGTTCTACTGGCTCTTCGACCTCGTCCATTGTGCGACTGACGCCGCCAACGTCAACATAACGTTTACGTCGCTCTTACTGCGCGCGTTTTGTGTGGGTTTCCGGCAATGAGTGGAATTACCGAAAGAAAAAAGTGTATAAATGTGTTTTGTGTGTGTGTGTGTGTGTGTTGTTGTCCCAACAACACATAAAAACAGGTTTTATAATAAAGCAACTCGCATACAGAAACAGTAAAGTTAGAGATTAAAAATGAGATTAACGCGATTAAAAAACATAACGCGCTAAATATGACTGTAATTAATTAATCGCAATTAACGCGATAATTTGACACCCCTAACATATATATATATATATACATATACATACATATATGAAATATAGAAGCTGTCTTCATCTCATGAGTTCATAACACAGTGTACTCGTGTGTGTGCAGGTCCACAGAGGAGCCTATGGAGCAGGAGCCTGTTTTGTAGGAGGACTCTTAAGAGAAGCACATGTAAACTCTACGTCGCCTCCTTGTGGCACGTCCTCTTCTTTGCCCTGCCTTCACTGGTGTGTGGTTGGCACACCTGCAGCAGGGAGGACTTTTATTGTGAGGCGCAGGATCGGGGCTTGTGTCGCCCTTGGCACAAACTCACAGCGATCTTGTACTGGTTAGAGGAGGAGCAGACGACTTGTTGGCATCTCCGTGGCAACCAGAGGGAGGACAGTCGTTACAGCACTGAGCTTTGACCTCATCCCTTTTTCTCCTGTCTACAGAGGATTTTTTAAACAGGCAGCGAGTGGACGACTTGTCCACTGACCTGCTGACTTTGAGACAAAAAGGAAAAAACTCTGATATGATCAGAGCGGGATGAGGAACTAGGTGCCTTTTTGTCCACAGAAATAAACGGTTGAATTTCAAAACCACATAAAACCACCGCCGGAACACCTCAGCAAAAAACTCAACAAAACAAAAACAAAGATACAATCAGCCCACTTAGGCCTGAGTCATGCTCACCACTGTCAGTGTCACCTCATCTTCTCTTCATGTCGATGCCTTAATTTGTTGTTCATTTAGTGACCACAAGAGGGAGGTGTCATATGCTGTTTAGATTTGAGTATTCCAACATACAGTGAAGCCATCATACCTCACCACAGAGCGCCATGTAACATCTCCACCGAATATTGTTTTATGTAAATACAACTGTACATAGTAATAGTCCAGAATATTTACAAATGACACAGTACCTTTTAATAGGTCATCTTAAATATGTATAAATATTTATTAATGGGTCAGGGCCCGTTCGTCTGCACAAAGAATGTTACATAGAACAAAACATTTTGAAAATGTTAGAAAGGATTTAAAAAAAAAAAACTAACATCATAAGATTAAATAAGAAAATCTGCAGCTGGTAGTGAAAAGCCTAATTTCAGTGCATGAATGTTTTAATACTATAACTTTTGTACATGGGGTCTTGGTTCGGGAGATCAGTGGAAATGTTACATTCAAAGTGATTAATGAACCAAATTAAGTGTTCCAGATCCAAACAAAATGTTTCCATACAGTTGTATAATTGTATGTACAGCAGTTTGACTATTGTACTACACAATGAGCTAGTACAGTGAGCTCCATTTGAAATACACCTGTTGTACATTTCTTGAAAATGATGACAGTTTACAAGTGGCTTGTAATGACAATATTGCAGATGACCAAAGCCCTGCTAAGTGCTAATTTGCTAATTCAAATATTCTTGGAGCGTTCGATGGCGTCTCTGCTGGTGAAGGTGCCTCAGGATCCAGTGCTCATCATGTGACTACAGCCCCGCCCCCTTCTTTCCATTGGACAGGGAACTCTCCTTTTCCTCAAATATTCCTGTTGGATGTAAATACTGTGTCTTGTCCAGTCAGACTTTTCTATGACTGTACATGGCAGACCCTACTCTTGAGTGTGGGATCAGACTGGTACAGATGTGGAGGGCTTTGGGAGTTGGCACACATAGGGCTCACACCACCTGTCTGTTTACACATGTTGACTACAGCTGGAGCTGATGGAGGAGCAGTGGTCCAGCTCCTTTGGCAGGACCAAGCAGGCACGCTGCCCCCCACAGACCAACACCAGCAACTACATATTAGCTCAAAGGGGGACAATTCAGTATGCTGTTACTGGGGTTCTGTGAGGAACAAGATAGACATGTTTAATTTACATCTGTGTGAAACTTTATATCACCTTAATTGAAATAGGCTTTGCAACACTGCAAAACTTATTACCAAGCAATAAGTGTGCTTTCCAAATGTAATAAAAGATAGTCTGTACTTTCAGCAAATGTATATATTTATAAACGGAGTTCTCATTCAAGAAAAAAAAAAAATCACACGTTTTTGCATGTCCCGTTTATTCTGACAATGGACAGTGTGAACGTACAGGTTTAAAACATATTCTCAAGTAGAAATGGGTCACATACATAGATGGACTCATCCATACACATACGTGATATGTGTAAGTAGCACAGCACAGTTATAGGCAAAGTTAAGTCCTCATTCTCACTACAGTGCATTTACATTACGTTCAGTTAAGTGCCTGCTTTATGTTTGAGCTGCCATGTTTGTTACCCAAGTGGAATAATGATAAATATCTCATAGAACCCTTTGTACCAAATACTGAGCCCTCATAAAGGTCAAGGGTCAGGGACAGGCCCCGCCCTCTGGTGACACATTGAACACAGGTTTTTATCATGTCCATTAGCCATTGTACCACTCATCCAGGAACAGCTCTGGTGAGGTGAGACTGTTGAACTTTTGTTAGCTTGGTCAGCAATCTCCATTCATTTGATGAAGCACGGTTCAGAATTGTCCTTTACAAAAAGCGGATGCAAGCCCCATCTGAGTGTCAGGTTAACTATTCCGCAAAGAACTAAACATCCAAAACCATTATGCACCTATTATTAACTGTACATCACCTTACTTGAGCAATAATAGACCCCACCGCTGAAGACGTGATCCAACTTACATGCAAGTGAAAGTGAGCGAGTTTACTTTATAGCCATTGGATATTTTTGCACATTTCTAAAGCCATATTTTTTACTTATTTGTTGCTTTTTAATATGCATATAATTTAAATAATAAAGTTTAAATGGCAACTACATAATTCCAGTATAGCCTTAAGCTGCAACTTAAGCAATGGTTTTGATGAGGAATCCCACTCTTTTCCGTTTTGTTCATTTCCACCAAAACATCAAGACACATATTCATTGCAAAACGGTTATGTTCCCTGACCTGTTTTTTTGTTTTGGGAGTCTAATATAAACATTATTTGTATTGTAACAAGGTGAATTACCTGATACTCTAATGGGGCTGTACATCGGCTGTTTTTAGCACCACAAATATCAAATAGTACATTCCTGGGCAGGGGAGAGGTTAAGTTGATGCACATTGTAGAAAGCTTTAAGGCTGCGAAAGACTGTTTTGGTCGTCCACGTTAAAGAACAAAATTGGCTTAAAATTCAGAAGGAATGCGTTCCAACCATAGACTGTATGCACACGGTCAGTGGTTCCAACTCAAATAGGGACTTATTCAAATGTTAAATATTTGGTTCATGAATGTCTTTGCTACACCACTATGTTGATCATCTCCAAACTGACATCACAACGCTATTGAACAGTTCACTATTTTGTCTGTTTAGAGAACCTTCGGTAAGATAACTTCAAATCAAGAGACTGACAGCTGTAATTTGTGTCTTACAAGTGGAAAGTTACTAAGCAGTGAATAATCGAGCCTCATTTTCAGAAACTTAAGTGGTGTATTTGTACTATTGTTAACTAAGTCCATTTGTCTGTTGGTAGTTGGTAAAAGCAAGGCACAAACTGGGGCTGGTCAGATTTTTAAAGATGAGTATTAATGGTTAACAATAGACTGCTTACTGAATAATACCTATTTAGTCTGGACAGTTTAGTTTTGTAGGTGTAGGTTTCCAGACATTAAAGGAACTGTATGTAAGATGTTGTTTTTAGATTGTATAAACTTGACTTAAATGTGTTACCAGATAAGTTGTTTGTGCAAATCAAATATAGCTTTCACTGATATCAGTTCTAATGCAGATTTAATCTTAATTACAAAAACATTGGACATGATGGCTCAGTATGATCAGAAAGCAGAATGGGTTGACAGTATCGATGCTGAAATCCAGTTGGTTTAAATCTGAAGACTACAGGCTACATACAGTTCCTTTAACAAATATTAAATTTACTTAATAAAACATTAACACACCAAGTTTAACATATTAATAATTTCTTTCCGTTTTTACTTCAACACTAAAATACTAAATACTAAAATACAGATTAACTATTTTAATTATGCTGTTTTTAAGAATGGCTTAGTTAATAGTTGTCTATTGCTAAACATTTGAGATATCGAAAATGATCTCCCCAGTTAAAACCTTGCGATTTTATTCACTTCCAACCACACACTACAACAAAGCGCACACTACTTTTCTCTCACCATTTGGGCTCTTTTGCTACATGAGCGAATACTGTATATTTCTTGATATGTTTGATACTGTGGTGTAACTGTAGTGTCCTGCTCTAATCCGGGGGGCTGTATTTGGGGACGGGACATACCTCCTCCTTTTGTTTTTGTTTCTGAGGGGGGCCCTTTCTGTGTCGTCTATCGTTTGTGGCTAAAACCTGGCGCCAATCACAAGCACATTCCTGACTATTTCTTCTGTCCTTGCCGTTGTCTTTTTTTTTTTTTTTTTATCTGGAGGCTTTCCTGTTGCAACAATTCAACATGTGTGTAGTTCACATGTAAATAAAAAGTGCATCATTGTGTTCACATGTGCAATACACTATCAGAGCAATCTTATTACTGTGACTATTACTGGCAATGAAAACGCGCCCCTTTTCTCTGTCTTTTCTGTTGTTGGAGTCAGGAGTCAAAGGGAAGCTGATTGTTCACTCATTACAGGGTTTTGTGGACATTAAAGAAACCCTTTTTATTACTCACTGTATTGTTGTGACGTTGATCCTCAGTATCAGTTTCTTTTTTTAAGTGGGCCTGTTGTTAAATTTGTCTGAAAACTCAATAAAGCAATTCACTGACAAGATGTGACCCAGAAGTTGCTCATTTTGTTCAGTTTAAAACACATTTAAGTTTTAAGGATTTTCTCCACAGCTGCATTAGAAAGTTAAATTGATAATATTTTGAACTTTATTTCTGTAAAAAAAAAAAAGCAAAATCTATCTGGCACTATTACATAAAACTTCATAAAATATAATTAGATTGTATTTTTTATCAAATGTAGAATTTTAAGCTTATACAAATATTTCAGCAATACAATAATTTACAGATAATTAAATGTTATGAAGTCCATCTGCTAAATTGCTCATAGTTCTTGTTTATGATTAAGTCTGAATAGTTTGCCTGGTTTGTCTGGCGCTAGCTCTCGGGAGAATAGATCTTGATGAGCTGCTGCAATTCGCTGGGGTACCCAGTGACAGGGCATCGGCGGTGGGCCTTCACGTAGGTGTACACACAGCGGTAACAGAACACAAAGCCAGACGTGGACAGGACTGTGGCGTTGGTGCGTGGTCTGTGACACAGTGGACATGTATGGAGGTAGCGCTCGCACTCTGCAGCGCTCTGATTGGCTGGCTGCAAGTAGAGGGGGGGTGGAGGGGCGGGCAGAGTCGTCAGGGTTTTCACAGTGCTTTGATTTTCCGAGGAGTACCACCATTCCAGGAACTGCAGGAAAAAGACGCCCAGGGACAAGGTGGTGGACAGGGACACAGCGAACCCCCTGGTGGCCTGGGAGAGCAAGTGCCACATTCTTTGCAGAGGGCTGTGTAAAAGACAGGGACAGTCACAGCGGTTAGTATCACAAACACTTAATTGATATGATAAATGAGAAACATAGAGGTAAGTATACGTATAGAAGACCAACGAATGTATATATGATGAATGAATAACTGTTATTTTTAATCTGCTTCAAACACATAAAGTTTTCCATTTCTATTTTTCAAAAACAAACAAAACTAAAATAGTAATTAATCAAGTGTAATTTGGCCCTTTATTACAGTATTCCAGTGTATTCACAGGTTGTATTACAATACTTACCTCCCCCCTATAGGTCCCCTCTGGCTCTCCTCCCTCAGCTCCATTTCCTTGAGGTCCTGAGCGCTGAGCCGGGCTAGTCTAACCCGGGCTAACCACAGCAGAGGACTGTGAGTCTTGGCCACTCCAAACACAAAGAGCAGCTGCTGACAGAAGACCAGAGCCTGCCAGGCCGAGCTAACATAGGGGTATGCTGCCACCCCAGCCCGGTACATTCTCTGGAAGCGGCTCTGGCTAAGGCGAATAGAGAAGTCCTCCTCGTCTCGCTGCTTAGCCAACACTGCCTCCACTTTGGCTCGCAGATATGGCACAAGGCACAGCAAGAGGAGGGAGCGCCAATAGGACCTGCGGTTTAAAGGGAGCTGCCCCTGCTGGCCCCCACACACCCTTTTGAGGCCGTAGAAGTTCTCTGAGAAGGAGGCGCTGCAGTGGGACAGGAAGTGTTTCTGTAGCAGGAAGTCCAGGAGCAGGTAGAGCTCATCGAAGCACTGCCACAGGAAGCCGTATCGCGATGGATTCGATTCTGCCAGGACCTAAGGAGGGTGCAGCAATGTATAAAGTGAGTTAAACCACTAAAAATACCACTGTTCAAAAGAGCCGTTAGAGCTGAGGAGCAGTACCTTGACAGCATGTCTCAGAGCAGGTTTCACAGCATCCATGAGGGACTCCTGGGCCAGCACCTCAAAGATGGAGGGCTGCTCCTGAGCTGTGCTGCTGGTCAAGTGGGCCCCGGCCTCTGCCATTGTTCACACTAAATTATAGGGACACAGAAAAGCAACTGAGTAGAGCAACTGAATCAAAAAGTAAAGCAATAGTAAAACAAGCACAATCTGCCAATGCATGATTGGATGTGGTCTTCACATAACAAAGTAGCTAATGGTAATAATGCCTGCATCTGTTTGTAGTTTTATAGAACTTAAGTTTTAACTTCAAGCGAAATGTACTTCTACTTCTTACTTCATGGATCACATGCATTTTATAAACACTAATAAAAATAGGTGGTATTTGTTTTATAAAGGGCACAATTTGCACAATCAGATAAAAGTACATAGTGTGACAGTTAGCACTTACCTGTGGGCTGTGGCTAACTAGTTAGCTCTAAACCAACATAGCTGCTGTTAAAATTGAAAAGCTGTAAGTTTTCTTCGTGTATATTTGGTAAAGTACGGCATTAGACTTAATGTCATTTTTACCAATTAACAAATTAAGCACGTATTATATATCAACAACAATTTCATGTGCGCACAGTGGAAAACACAACCGTGCGTCACTACTTCCTGAAACCAGCGTGACGTTTACCAAAAGACCGCACATGATTTGTCTTTTTTTTTTTTTTTTTTTATAGTTGGACATTTTTTTTAAATATTGCCTATTTTGAGAAATGTAAATAATATAGAAATATTTCTGTCTTCTATTTTCCATAAAGAAAATCATTCTCGACATCTCGTTTATTTTCGTGTTGTACTTTCCACTGGCAGCCACCTGGTGGCGTCGTAGACCTTCATTTCACTGATGGTTACTCTAGTGACGGTTCACTTTGGCCTTTACACTTGGTGTGTGGTTCGGTCCGGTTATGAGAACTGTTAAAGGAACAGTATGCAAGATTTTGATGTGTTGGGTAAAATTTTCAATCAATTTTTAAAAGAATTTCTTTATTTAGAGATCCAAGCATTTGTATCACAGCTCCTGTCTGCACCTATGAATTGTGTCCACAGAAAAAAAAGGGCACAAGTTTGTCAAACCTGGCTCTTCAACATGCTCTGCACTATACACGTTATAGTATATATAGTTTTCAGTGTCACACTGAAAACTATAAATACTCAAAAATCCTGCAACATTGATTTGCAAGTTGGCTTGCCTATCTGTGCCATCCCTCCAGTTCCTTGTATATTACATATACAGGAAATGTATATTTAGCGATTAGAATGACATTGTCAGGCAACAAGTTTGCAGCACATTTAAGACTTTATGAATGAAGTGAATGGTTCAGTGTTTATAGGTGAGTAGGTTATTTGCTGCTGATGCTTAAAGGTCCCATATTACACAAAACTGACTCTTGTGGGTTTTAAGCCATGCTGTAATGTTGTTACCTCCTATATACTTGGAGTTGTGTTTTGTTTCATGCACACGTTTGAGTAACCCTTTACTATTAGACCATCTACAGCCCCAAGCTCAAAATGATCTGTTCCACCCTGTGATGTCATGTAGTGGTAGATTTCAAGTTAACAGCTTCCTTTTACTTTTACTTCAGTAGAGATGGACAATTCCAGGGCTGAAATTTCCAGTTGATTCTAGTGAAGGCTAATGGAGCTTAAAAACACATTGGAGCACTTTCTGTAGTACCACATACCATCTCAAGGTGGAACAGAGTTTTCTGTTGCAAGAAGAACTCTATGCAGGGTATGTGTGCTAAATAAAACAAAACACAACTCCAGGCAAGTTTGTGATAAGGAGACATTATAACATAGATCATAAAATAGTGTAATATAGGCCCTTTAATGTTCATCAGGCTACAACAGACTGTAACAGAATCAAATAACATTTTATAATATATACAACTGATATTACTTGTATCAAAAGCATGAGCAGAGCAGAAGGCACAGTATCAAGGCTAGAGCAGTGAGATGAGGAGTGGCTACAGAGCTCTGCACAGATGTCCCATACATGCCCCCTCCAAGCAGGGGACAGGAGCTGGACGTGCCCCCCGTGTTGAGCAGTAAGACTCCAGAGAAAGTGATGGTATTGGACGTAGCACTGGACCAGGCACAGCTGCCCTCTCGCTGCCTCACCCACACCATATCACCCTGCTTGAGAGATTCCACCAAATAACACGTGGTTAGAGTTGTGTCTCCATCAGCCACCTGAGGGCAAGAGAGGGCATGATTTATTTTTTAGTTAGTTATTCTATCATTTAGTTGCACAGGAATGTCAGCCCAAACAATACCAAGTTACTGAAACAAACAATACATAAAAATAAAAATAACATTTGGTACATAATTTGACAGTTGCCTGCTATCTGTATGCCTAACCTGAGCATGGCAGAGAACCTTTGTGTTTTTGTTGACCACAAAGTGCCAGAAGTTGTTGGAACCTCCGCGGCAGAGCTGAGCGCTGAACATAAACTGATAGATGCCCGTCTCCGGTGCTGTGAACACTCCGGTTAGGTTGTTGTACCCCGAACCTTGATTCATCCACACTTGGTTAAAAATTATTGGATCAAACAATATGTCCCTCAGCGAGCCTTGGTGTGCAGTGAAGAAGACCACAGTGGCCCCTGCACAGCACAAGAAGACATATTATGCTTGTGTCTGCTATACCCCCCTCAAAGTCCGCTGACTTCTGGATTAAACAATACCACAACAAAGAGTTGGCACCTCCAATGGACTACACAGTAGTGAACAGCAATTTTTTTTTTTTATTGCACCAAAATGACTACACGACACCGCCGAATCCTGCACGATTATTGATTAAGAAAATAAAATTGGAGACCAGAGTAAGCACAAAGCAGTGGCGGTGGTAGTGAAAACAGGGACTGATGGGCAATATTTATGGTGTCATGAAAATAAATGACTAAAGATGGCTCAAACATACATAAATCACTACAAATACAACTATGAGTGAGTAAATAGTGAGAGGTTGGTTAAAAGTTCTAAAAAGTCAAATTTGCATAATAGGTCTGCTTTAAGGTATGTATTTGCACAGAGAAAGAAACAATAGATTAAAAAAAAAGAAATAATCAACCAAATATGTATTTTATATTTCCCAGTGCCAGCCAGATCAACAGACATTCAGCAAATGGGAACAGAACATGCTATATATGCTGATAATGTTTACAAATTTAGAGATTAAGTTAATAAAACGTACTTTGTGTGGTTGCGGTCTGAATAGGTACCTTGAAAAAGAGAAGGATATTGAAAACAGTAAAATGCTGATTTGTGTATCTACTATGTTACTTACAAATTTGACTGGTGTCACCATGGTTGAACTATAGGTTAAAAATAAAGCAATTTTAACAGCATAATAACTCATCTGTGGATAAAATATAAACAAAGGTTAGTTAAGTGGATCTATACCAACTAACCAACAATTTAATAATCCACTATATAATAGCAGTCTTACCCTGTTGTTGCTCATTGCGAATTTGATGGTTAATTTAAGTCCAAGTGAAGTGGCTGCATGCCCATTGAACAAAGTCCCCACACTGTTTGACTTGTGCTGTGTTATTATTGCTGCACTCTTCAGTGTATAGCCAGTATTGAAATTTAGTAGCCCATATACATTATATTCACAATTACAGTATAACAATAAAGAAATCACTTTCATCAAGATGTGTGGTTTAAGGAGAATTTATTGATCAAACTAACCAAGCCAGTCAACAAAATCAGTAGATGGTAATTGAATATTATACAGCGGAACTAAACATTAAATCAACTTTTTTGCAACTAAACTGTATATTTGCAGCTTCCGGGTCAAAAATGTCTAAATCTAAGTGTATGCTGCCTCTAGAGGACACTGCAATTTCAAGTACAATGTGACATCACACAGGACTGCCCTGATTACAGCCAGGAGTTTGACGTGTGGATACCTGTTAGACTAAGATTAAGATGAGTCAACTCTGTGTACTTACATATGGCTCATCTGTATATTACAAGGCATTATCCCATACTCATTTTGTTAGGCATTATTTACAAACAGAGGACATGACTTCATGACAGAGGACTTCTATCTTTCCTCTTCCTGTTCCTCTCTGCCATCACCACAGCTGCCACTACAGTCACTAACACTGTTACTGTAATGACCAGTACCGTCGCGGTCTCAGCCACACACAGCCGACTGTCCACCCACGCCAGAGAGTATCCAGCCAGCAGTGGGGGCTCGTGGCATGTCACGTTGCGGTAGTCGTCGATGTGAAGGTAGCGCACAAACAAGATCTTACTGAAGACACGGTGTAGCTCACAGTCGCAGCTCCATGGGTTACCTGAGGAGAAAACATACAATGCAACTTAATAGACCTTTTTCATAGCGTCTTTTGCGTGTTGTTAATGTTTTTTATGGCAAAATGTCTGTGGAAATGTCTTGCGTATTCTCCGCCTTCTTAATAAATCTGCCTGCCCCATCACCAAGTTTTCAACCAAAAAGGTCGACAAAAGATATAAGGATATAAATTCTTCCATGAATTTATTTACAATTATCAATTCGAGAAAGTTTTGCTAAGGAGTAGTTCACTAATGCTAGTTGTTGTTTGCCTTTAAGCTTTTGTCTTTCTTACCTTGATAGTTGTGGATAAATTTAAAGAATTTAAGTCCTTTGTCGACCTTGTTGATTGAAGTGGATAATGGAGTAGGCAGATATATTAAGCTGGTGGAGAATACGCGAGGCATTTCCACAGACATTTTGCCAAAGAAAACCATTAACCAGAAGTTCCGCAAACCTACAGGGCAGGACTTCCGGCCACTGTGAAAAAGTTCTATTTAAGAGACTTAATTTTGTTTCCTTGTTTCCTATTAAATACAAAAAAAAAGTTTGTTTCCAACTCTGACCCATGCATACTGTTGTTGTGTCCTTGGGCAAGACTCTTCACCTAGGCTCTGTATGAATGTTGTGTTTGATTTGTTATGGTTGGAAGGGATGATATGTGAGGAGTGAATGAACAATGCTCAAAACTGTATTGTGAGCATTTGGAAAAGTCTAATGAATTATAAAGATGAAGTATAAAATGGATGTCAGTGAAACAAACACAGCAATTACACACCTGAGAGCTGAATGTGAGTAGCGGTGGTGTGCAGACTGATGAAAGTCTTAAATTTCAGGTTGTGCATGTTGTTTCCCTCCAAAGCTAAAACAGCCAGACTGTAGAGAGGAGCCAGAGCATCACTGTCAATCTGCGAGATGTTGTTATAACTCAGCTGCAGCACCTGCACATGGAAGAGCCAGTGTCATGGACCACTAGGAACACAGTATTTACTACAGTATGGACCACAGTATGTAAAGCAGTATGAACACAGTATGAACACAGCAAGTACACAGTATGTACAGTAGAAGTTGTGTGTGGTGTGCACCTCCAGGCCTGGCAGCATGTCCATACTGCCCTGCTGTACCACGCTTAGTCTGTTGTACTGCAGGTGGAGCTGCCTCAATCTGGACAGTCCCTTCAGCACACCGGGGCCCACTGCTTCCAGCTGATTGTAACTCAGGTCTAATTTTTCCAGACTGTCCAGATTCTCAAAGCTGCCAACAGTGGGTACATACATAGTTAGTAAAATCTAGAATAACCAATACATAATAAGATTATAATATAATTAGGTCTGATTTTTGGTGTGTTTATGTGCCATGCACAAGAAACTCTTTTGTTTTCTTTTCCACATTCGATTGTCCTTTTTTGTATTTTTTCCTTTTCAGGATGTGCACAGGTTGTAAACAATCTGACAGAAATCCAATTACCTGCTTCAGAAGTAACTGTTCATAAGACCTTTCAATAATCTGATCCAGAAATCAGATAATGATTTCATTTTTGACCTTCATATAATAGTAACCATTGACATACACAAGAAAGTTATATGCAATATTATGTGGGAAATTGTCTTCCTCAGTAATCAGTAGCAGGGAGATTTGTTTAGTTCTTGTTTAAGTGTTGACCTACCTGTTTGGAGGTATCCTCTGTAAGTAGTTGTGCTCCAGCCGCAGCTCCTTGAGTGCTGTCATGCTAGAGGAAAAGTCCACCGGGACAGTGGTGAGCAGATTCCAACTCAAATCCAACTTCTCCAGGAAGGACAGAGAGAAGAATGCCTGCACAGAAGAACCAGGCTTATCACTTCAACCACAGTCAGGTGGACTCCAAACTTTGAACAATTCCTTATGCTAATGCAATTTTAATCCTTTTGATCATTTATGCACTTTGGATAAGACAGCTTTGACTGCTGACCCTTATTTGATTATAGAATTTTTTTCTAAGAACAATTTGATATGAAATTGTAACATTTTAGTTATATTTTAATTTTTTATTATTATTATTATTTTTTAACCAATACCATCGTACAGTGTAGACAATCATGAATCAGTGCTACTGCAGCCTCAGGGTTCTGAACTTTCACAAGAGACATGACCTACATTGGTGTAGTCTGTTTATGCTTGATCAAACAAGTGCATTTCAAGTTGTATTATTGCACATTTTCACCACTTTCTAGTATACAGAAAAGTGCTCCAGTGGTGTACCTTGGGCCGTATGTATTGGGTCTTGCTGACACCGAGGTCGAGTACCCGTAGGGACCACAGGCCGACAAAGGCGTGGGTGCCGATCTCTGTCAGGTTGTTCCCTCCCAGCTTCAGGAGCCAGGTGCCGTGAGGGAGGCCCCGGGGCACATGTGCAAAGCCCTGGTCTTGACAGTCCACCAGGTTAGCATGCTCATAACACACACAACGCACTGGGCACACGCGAGAACTCAGGGAAGATGGGTGTGGGTACGAAATAGTCAGGAGAAAGAGGATGAGAGAAAGAGGAGGCATTCTTCATCCACACCAGGAGGATGGAGAAATGTTCACGCCATAGAACAGCAGCTGGAGCAGACGTGAAGATCAGAGGAGAGTGCAGACTTATTTCCCTTTGTTGTAATTTAGTGCATCTGAAAAATATGAAGATGTATTTAAGAATGTAAAAAGTTGTACAATGGAAACTTGCAGATTTTTTAAGTTTTACAGTATTGTGACTGAAAGATGCTACCAGCAAGAGAATAAAAATAACTAGATAAACAAACAAATAAATAAATAAATAAACAAACAAACACATGAACAGATTAATACAATGAAATCTACAAAATCTGTGGATAAACACATAAATCCCTTGCTATTGTAACATGCTTGTCTTTACGTAATAGGTCATTAGAGGCAGGGAGGTTGACAAGATTACACCGGTTAAGTGTGTCTGCCAACACAGTTTTATAGCATGTAATAATATGTTTAGAATAAAACAAGGGTCCATGACCCAAAACTGGCTGGGCCACTAGCCATCTGCTACCAGGTCCCAGAGGAAATGGTTTTATATATATATCTTTTTTATCAATACGGATTTTGTTATTTTTAAATATAGAATCAATTAACCAAATAAAAAGCAAACATGAGTAAAAAAATATATTTAAAAAATACAGGATAATCGGTTGTACTTGTTTTGAGCTGTTGCTACTGACTCTGCCCCTTTCTGTTTGTCCTTGGAACTAAATCTTGTGAGTCTACCGGTCCCTAGAGGAAAAAAGGTTGTATCCAAGTATTTGCTAAATACAATTTCTTTTTCAGTGGGCCTATATTATACATAGCATCAGCCACACTCCCTTTTAAAAACTCACCTGTTTTCCAGAAGAAAATTCCATCTCCATTCTGTAAAATAAACACAGGTAGGCTGTATTTTTCAGTGCAGTAGTGATGGTGAGACAGACTGCTTTTGTAATAGTGAGAAAGTACTGCGACCGATGTCATAATCCTCTAATCCTTCCATCACCAAATGTTCCTGTTAATGCTCGAAACTCTGGCAACTGCTGCTTTCATTATCATCCTGTGTACAGCTGTGTGCCTCCAATCATCTTTCAGTATTCATTAAAATTAATAGCAATTATTAATAAAGCAAAAATAAAAACAAAACTGAAAAGCAGGAGGATGAGGCAGCTGCCTTGTTGTTGGATTTCACATGTGACTGGTCCCATGCAAGATTTATTTGAATGATATTTGTCCTGTTCCCATATAGATATTATAAGATGCTTATAACCCTCTCAGGCTCAAATTAATTTTAGTATCAGGAAAAATCTGATATTTGAGGAAAATTATCATATGGGGTAGTAATACACAGTACAATCCTGACTTTTTTATCCTTTGTAAACAACAAAAGTACTTTGTACTTCTGACAGGCCGTTTGTGTGTAGCCATTCTTGCACAGTCTGCATCACCTACGTTTATCAGCATGGATGGGAGAAAAGGCTCCTGAGTAAAAAAAGCTCATAAAATATGGATGTGGAGTAAGTTGGTAATTGGCATTTAGCTGTTTCAAATCTGCAACGCCTGCTTGGAGAGGGTTAAGGTCAGTCTGCTGTGTAGTGTCTGCATCTAATGACAAAGCATTTCATTGTTCAATTATCAGTAAGTGCATGTTAGCATGCTAGCTCTGCACCTGTCTCTGAGAGTTGTGAAAAGTGCTCATCAATTAGGATGCTTAGATTGCATGAGGTAAGTGAAGAATAACTCGTTTAAAATGAACTAGTTCTGTTTTTATGTTTTTAATCAAGTGCCTTTAACTGCCTTCTGTCAGCTATGTAACAACAAAGTTTTTAATAACATACATTAAGGTGTCTGTTAAGACACTTTGAAAATGTCACTTCAGGTCAACATCACAAGGGTTGTAAAGAGGTTTCAGATACTAAGCTTCAGTTACAAGAAGATTTCTTTTTATTTATTCTTTTATTTATTCTTCTATTTTATTTATTCTTTTTATTATAATTTTATTTGACATATCAGCCTATAGCCTAAATTAGTCACACTGCTTCACTCACTGTCATGATGCAATTAATGTCTTATGAAAGTCCAGTTTTTTAAATGCTAGATTGGTGCATGTTTAAAGAATAATAAAGTAATCATGTAGTCTAACATAGGCCATGTCTAGTAGCCCCTAGTGTTTACTTAATGTAATGTTAATTAAAATGACTAGTCAGTTCAGCAGATTGTGAATGGTGTGAGTTCAGTGTGCCTCTGCACCTGGCACAGGCTCCACACAGACCAGTGTTTACCTTGTGAGGGCTTCCCCGGCTCCACACAGTACCTCCTCTGTGAGTGAAACCAGAGAGGGCAGCATTCCTCACACTTTACCTTCAAATAGAGACCCAAATAGTTGAAGAAATAATCCAGGGTCCCACAGGGAATGAAAGCCTATCCGCTTCAAGGTGGACAACAGTGTCTTTGTGCAGCCATGCTAATGCCCACAGCCTCAGCATGTCCCACACAAGCCAAGGCATTCACTCGACAGTCTCCAGGACGAGAGGAGTGCTTCACTGGGGATGAAAATGATGAAGAATAGTCATAAATACAACAGATGGATACACAAGCTTCCTCCATGGACTAGCATCATAACAAATGGATGACAGTGGAATATGGAATCTCAACATTGGATTACATTTGCAGAGAACACCTGCTGCCTGGGAATATCAGCACCCACCATGATGTCCAGTGAGAAGAGGTAGGCCATGATTTCTTATTTAGTAATTGTAGGTGCTGGAGTGCTAACAGCTAGTCATGGCTAATGTTAGCATTGCTACATATTAGCCACTATGTTTCTCAAAGCAATCACTGAACATGCATCTGAACAAATCAAAGTGGATACTCTTGCAGTTCAAAATTATACAGTTTACATTATTTTTCTAATTTAAACACAGTTACTACTAAAAAGAAAAGCTGAGTATCATGGGGCAGTCAGTGAGTCAGTCAGGGAATAGGCAGCGTTCAACATTTAGACCACTTAACATGCTTTATTTCAGCATTCAAAATAATTAAACACATCTCAATTATTATACACATACAAAATAGGTACAGATCCATGTGCTGTTGTCTGTCTGCTCACAAACTGTTGGCTCTCTTTCTGTACATTAAAGATTTGGGGATAGATTCAGAAGTAAGGAGTCTATGGGGAATGGGAGGGGAACAAAATGAAAATGTATAGATCCACTTTACAAAACTTGACCGTCTCAATCTAGACATCAGAAAATTTTAAGATGGATTTTAGCACCAAAAAGGTCCCGACATTCCAACACGACCTCAACGATACAATATCACCATGTTGGACGTCACAGGACCCTTAAGAAACAATAGCACCTTTAGATTTAGCTATTTTTGCTGCTGAAAGCGATCTGGACTACCCCACTGACTGCCACAACAGGCTTCCCTTCACACATATGGGCCCCTTTTCGAAAGCTGGAGGTAGCCGTAAGACATTTTGTTCTTTAAAAAAGAGGTTTCAACCCATGTGTTCTCTGCTGGTGGTTTTAATGAAAGAGGACAGGAAGGAACAAACAAGAATAAGTCCATGCCAAGTCAAAGGAGGGGCAAAAACAAACATGGCTGTCAGTTTCACCGTTTATTCATCAACACCTGAACGTGGTACATAGCATTTGGGTTCTGTCTGTTGGGACTGTCCTTTCATTCCTCTCATTGCAGTGGTGTAGAAAAATAAGTCACTTTGTAAACTCCAGAGAGGCCTATCGGGGCTTGGTGGGATGTAGGGGGAAGTACATTTTTACACTTTACAGAAGCATATATTATTTTCTTGTTGCCAGTGAAACAAAACGTCTTTACAGGATCCTTGGTGTTGTAAAAAACGAACTCAAAAATCAAGAAGAAAGTAGTGGTCCCAAACACGATGATGCCAATATTTCTGCATCAGCGCCATTTTGTTGAAGTGCAGGTTTTTAGGATGGAGGGCTTGCAAATTTCTTAATGTTATGATGGGTATTTTGTAGAGAGATGACTGCTAGAAAAAAACAAAACTCACTCACGCACACACACAACAACAATTTCAAGTCCAGATTGCTCTTTTTACAAGAAACAGACAGGTCCCACTTCAATGCCAAACTCTTGGTCTGGAGCACCAACGTCCATAGGAGCGATATCAATAATGGGCAGGCGAGATGTTTTCGTTGTCTTGTAGTCAATGACTGTCTTTCCCCATGTTCCGGTGTGTGACTGAAAGGAAAAGAAAGACATGGCAAATTAGTTTGGCACAAGGTGATCAAACATCTCAGGGAAGTACATCTGAGGTGTGTATTACAATATTATGCAAAATGTAGGCATATTGCCATTGTAATGTATGGCTACATCTAGTGGTGAAATTACAAACTGCAACTTTATACCTTTTCTTTTTAGACAGTAAAAAGTGAGCCCTACAAGAACACTTATTAAGGTGGGTCGACTGTGGTCTGATCCTGAAACCTTATGCTGTTTTGGATTATTTTTTCATATTGTGATTCAAATTTTTCCTGTTTTGCTCCTCCTATTGGTCAGTGCCTGACAGGTGGATCACAGTGAAGTGTGAACTTTCAACTTCATATTCTTCAGCACATTTTTGTGGCCTCTGCACAGAGAACCTTGTTACTACTTACCGTGCATCCGTCCTCCAGAACACTGTAGGTGAAGCGGCTGTTGCCTTCGGCTCTGATCTCAATCTCGTTAGAGCCCTGGAGGAGCAGGGCCTTCTTGAGGTTACCAGCAGCAGCGTCCATGTAGGCCACGCTGTTCTTGCAATGGTAGGTGATGTTCTGAGATGCCTCAGTGGACATGAGACGCAGGAAGGTCAGCTGAATGTTGACATCCTCTGGCTGAGAGCCTTCGCTGCCATACTCGAACTGGGGACACAAGCGCAGTAATGCCATTGGTCAGTTAAAAAGTCTAAGAAGAAGACTAATGAAAATAATGAAATGTAGTACCTGGAAGCCATCGTTCATGGTCTCGCCGAACCAGACGTGCTTCTTCTCCTTGATGTTCTTGCTCACGTACCAGTTCTTCTTGGCCACCTCAGGCTGAGTTGGTGATACACATGTCTCGCCTGTCTCCATGTTGCAGTAAACTTTGATGGCATCCTGAGTGCAGCCCTGGTCAGGGTCGATCCAGTAGAAATCTAAAGTAATGGTGAATGTCAAATCATGGCTATATTATCTGCCACATCCTAACAAAATCTTAAACATTTGTAGTACTCACCACTCTTCCAGTCTGGGTGGCACATCTTCAGGTCACGGCAGGTTCTAGCAGGGTTCTTACGGGTTCCATCTGGACTGCGGATCTGCTCGATTTGCTGGCTCAAGCTCTTGAGGGTGCTGTCCACCTCCAAATCGCGGTCACGCAGAACATTAGCGTCGTCAGCACGGAACATACGGAAGGGATCAGGGGCCTTCTCCTGAGGCTGGGCAATGAAGCCGAGGTCGAATCCACCACCAGGAGCACCTGGGGGTCCAGGGGGTCCAGGAGGTCCAGGAGGACCCTGGAATAGGAGACAAGAAAGTGTTAAGTACATTTAAAATTACTTTTAATAACTGCACTGCAGTTTTAAGACTTTCACTCACAGCAGGTCCCATCTCGCCAGAACGACCACGAGGTCCTGGAGGTCCAGTTGGTCCAGGGAGACCACTCATACCATCTTTGCCAGGAGCACCAGCAGATCCAGCAGGGCCCTAAAGATGACAGTTAAAAAACACTCAGTCTCCTCGGGAACAGTCATGAATACACATCTTCAGGTAATGTCATTAACTTACTCTAGGTCCGGCAGGTCCAGCTGGTCCAGCTGGTCCTTGCTCTCCATTAGATCCCTTGATTCAAAGAGAGATCATTTCAGAGAATGCTCTATGTGATGTTTGGTCTATATGAGCACTAGAATTTTAACTCACAGCTGGTCCAGGAGGTCCCTGCATGCCAGTGAATCCTCTGTGTCCCTTCATACCCCTCTCACCAGCCTCTCCTGACTCTCCCTTGTCTCCACGGGGTCCAGCAGGTCCCTGTTTGGATGATTTTGAGTTTGATTTCATATATGTTTGGCATTCGGTGGTAGACATGATTTTGTCAAGTTACTTACAGCAGGGCCACGAGGTCCAGCAGGGCCAGCGGCTCCAGCAGGTCCAGCAGGTCCCTTTCACCAGAAAAATTTATATTAGTTATCAAGTTGATCAAAAAACATGTACTGCCCTCAGGATTGCCTTGACACATACAGACTCTCCACGGTCACCAGTCTTTCCAGCGGGTCCAACAGGTCCAGGGGCACCAGGAGGTCCAGGAGCACCAGGGGCACCAGCAGCGCCGCTCTCACCACGATCTCCCTGATAGCAAAATTAATATACATAAATTAAATGAATCAACAATCTTAAGCTCTCTGTTCACTCACTGTGCACTGTGTTGGACTTACCTTGGGTCCAGGAGCGCCATCACGTCCAGCTGCACCCTCGTTACCTGGGGATCCCTACAAACAAACATAAGGCAAGTTAACAATGTTAAATGCAGTGAAAATGAAAAATGTATTAAAAGTTTGGAAAGCGGTCTATACCTCACGTCCAGGCTCACCGGGAGCACCAGCAAGTCCTGGGGGTCCCATGGGTCCTGGAGGTCCACGCTCACCACCGGGGCCAGCAGGTCCTTGCTTTCCAACCTCTCCCTATAGAGAACAATAAACATCAGTAACAATATTTCTGCCTCTCTGTGACTAACATCCAACATTGTAAGTAACTTACAGCGGGTCCAGGCATTCCAGGGAAACCTCTCTCTCCTCTCTGTCCAGGGAGACCAACAATACCACGCTGTCCACTAAGACCCTGAGGGCCAGGCAGACCAGCACTACCCTGAAGGGAAAAGAGAGAGACATAAGAACCTAAACCTGCCAATTTTCAGGACATAAATAAAGGAGCATTAGCAATATTATTTAAGAACTTACAGGAGCACCCTCAGCACCAGCGCTACCCTTCTCTCCAGGAGCTCCAGGAGGTCCAGCGGGACCGACCTCACCAGGACGACCAGCAGGGCCAGTCTCACCACGGTTTCCTTTGGGTCCTTCTTTGCCAGCGGGTCCAGCAGGTCCGGCAGGTCCAGCATTGCCCTAATCAACAGGGGAAAGTTGACCAATTGAGTTTAAAATGCTGTCATAAGTAAAAAGTTGCTTCAACAAATCCATATAACCGACAGAACTTACAGAGGGGCCGGGAGGTCCGACTCGGCCAGCAGCACCAGGGAAACCAGTAGCACCCTAGAAGAAAATATTAGAAACACTGTTGTGACTTATTAAACAATATGACAGATTGTAATAACACACCCAAATAAAACGTTAAGAGGAGAGTTGAAATAAGTGACTTACAGGAGGTCCAGCAGGTCCACGGGCTCCTTTAGGACCAGTGTTTCCAACAGGACCCTGGAAGAGTAATTGTATGTTTAGTCTAATGTAATATGTATCAGAGACTTCAGATTTGTCAAAGCTCTCAAACCTGAGGTCCTGGGGCACCAGTGGGTCCAGCAGGTCCAGGGGCACCAGCATCTCCCTTAGCACCATTGTCTCCAGCCTCTCCCTTAGCACCAGGCTGTCCATCAGCACCCTAAAGAAGCAATGTATACGTTAGCCCAAGCTTGACTTTAATCAAGATTAAAATGAAAAAATATAAATGAAATTCACTAACAGGAGGTCCAGCGAAACCAGCTGGTCCAGGTGGTCCAGACTCTCCACGCTCACCCTAAATGAAATAAAGAAAAATCAGAGGACCTGCAGCATTATTTAAATGTGTAAACAAAAATTGCATTTTATTTTGTACATACAGGGGCACCACGAGCTCCAGAGGGTCCAACAGGTCCAGCAGGGCCAGGCTCTCCCTTGTCTCCAGTGGAACCAGAAGGTCCAGGAAGTCCAATAGGTCCAGCCATACCACGGACACCATCCTTGCCAGGGGCACCATCAGCGCCCTTTGCTCCTTGATCACCCTAAAGGAATAATTTCACATGTTTAACAAATAATTCAGATGATCTCATTCATGTAATGAGATTTTTGAAAGGGAATACACTGAGCCCTTACTCTGTCTCCCTTCAATCCTGGAAGTCCAGCAGCACCACGCTCACCAGGCATTCCCTGCAGTCCGGGGGGTCCTTGGGCTCCGGGAGTACCAGGGGCACCGGCATCTCCCTTGAGTATTAAGAAACAAGGACATTACTCATAAGTTTTAGTAAATTAAACTGAAAAATAATACTATAAATTTAAATCTTACCTTAGCACCATCATTTCCAGCAGCTCCAGGAGCTCCACGAGCACCAGCAGGTCCAATAGGACCAGGGGCACCACGCTCACCAGGGAATCCTCTGTCACCCTGAGAAGAACACATCAAACTGTTAAGGAAGTTCAGAAAAGAATCTTTTTTCCTTCACAACTGTGGTTTCACAAAATGAACCAAAGGTTGAGCTGAGACAGAAGTTACTTACTCTAGATCCAGCGGGTCCTGGGGCTCCAGCTTCTCCGGGCAGACCCTACAAAGGGACAAGAGGACACTAATAAGATCAAAAAGTCACATTTTGATATGTCTGTAAATAAAAATAAAGGTAAATACCTGCTCTCCAGGTTTGCCAGTCTCACCAGACGCACCCTGAGGTCCTGGAAGTCCCTGGAATCCAGGAGGTCCAGCAGGTCCGGCCTCTCCTCTCTCACCAGAAGGACCCTAGGCAAGAACAATAAGAACCATCAGTAGCTGCACATGCTTTAATAGTTTGCTTTGATCCATGGTTTAATTGACTTACAGCAGGGCCAGAAGGTCCCTGAGCACCAACTTCACCATCCTTTCCAGGAGCACCCTAAATATAGAAAAGCACATTTCAGTATCAGTGATCTGTTATTCTTTTATTTTTTGCCAAAATAAATTAGTTCTAATGAAGAAATGCTGAAACTTACAGCAGGGCCGGTAGGTCCCATCACTCCTCTCTCTCCAGGCTTTCCGGCCTCACCCTAGAGAGAAAGTGCATGTTAATATTGGTTCCTTTAGTCAAAATTTCTGTACACTTTAGCATCACATGAACTACTCACAGCAGCTCCTTTGGGTCCAGGGAATCCCATAACTCCAGGCTGGCCTCTGGCTCCAACAGGTCCTGGGGGTCCAGGGCGGCCATCTTGTCCAGGGGCTCCCTGTGAAAAACATCAGCATTGCTTTCAGTCTGGCATAAATCACAGTACCATGCTCATCATCTGGATGTTTGTGATTATGGACTCACAGCAGGTCCAGTCTTTCCATCAGGTCCAGGGCTGCCAGGGCTACCAGTCATACCCTTAGCTCCAGGCAATCCAGGCTCACCAGTGCGACCAGGCTCACCAGTGGAACCTTTGGGTCCAACCAAACCGGGGGCACCACGCTCACCAGTGACACCCTATTAAAACCAAATATGGGCATATATGAAAATAGAGACAAGTGGAAAGAATTGGTTAATAAATATGAGTGTTAACAGAGTTTCTATAACTGACCTTGGGTCCAGCAGGGCCATCAGCTCCAGGGAAACCACGACCACCAGGGGCACCCTGAATGAGACACAATCATGGACTATGATGAGCACATATGAACATATTGAATTATTCATAATTCATCCCTCATAACTTCACTTCTAAAATTCTGCATGTCTGAATGTATGTCTAAATGTATAACATATGTTGACTCCCTTGAAAAAGAGATCATTACTGATTAAATAAAGCTTAAATTAGTACATATATTTCTCATTTACTCCTACAGGGCGGCCCTAGAGAGCCTGCCCTACTTGACTGATCCAATAGCACTGGCTAATTAAAATAAATTGACAGCATATCAGATACGTACTCTCTCTCCGGGGGATCCACGAGCTCCAGCAGCACCAGGCTCACCTCTGGCACCTCTCTTGCCTTCCTCACCAGGAGGTCCTGGGGGTCCCTGAACTCCAGCAACACCCTGGAAATGCACACACCATATATCTAACTATGCAGTCATGCATTGAGGCATACTGTTATGCTCAATATGAATAGTGCTGTACTTACAGCCTCTCCCTTAGCACCAGGCTCTCCCTTGGCTCCAGGGGCACCAACATCTCCCTGAGAACAAACAAAAGTTATCAAACAAATGTAAGTTTCACTGAGTAAGACAAATTTAAGCCTTACTCACAGTGTTACCCTTGGCTCCAGGGGCACCGACAGCACCCTGAGGTCCAGGAGGCCCACGAGGTCCGGGGAAACCAGGAGCTCCAGCAATTCCAGGGGCACCCTGTAGAGGGCAGCATAGAACAACATTGTCTCATCTTGCTGCAATATTGCATTATTGTTTCTTTTTCAGTCAGACTGTTTACTGTCACTATCTCAAACTTGGCTTAGCTGCTTGAATTTAGCTATTTGAACTGAATCACTTACAGCTACTCCCTTAGCTCCAGGGGCTCCATCAGTTCCGGGGTTTCCCTAAAAGAAGAAGAACACTTAGCTTTAGCTTTTAGAACTTTTGATGCATTTACATGTTTGATGGCACATTGGGAAGCACAGTGATGATGGTTGTCACTTACAGCAGGGCCAGCGGGGCCAGCAGGTCCAGGGTTACCGGGCTCTCCACGGGAACCAGCGGGGCCTTCGGGTCCACGAGCACCCTGAGCTCCGACATCACCCTGAAAGAGAAGAACAAAAATCAGGAATTACACTTAAAATACATTATTTATCCCATGGGACAAAGATACATGGGATTATAACACACTAACAAAACAACCACAAAAAAATCATGTGACACAGATATTGGTCAAAGGTCAAAATTAGGTTAACCATGTAGACACAGCAAAAATCACAATACTGGCCATTATCATGGGTAAAATACATAATAATGAGAATGGAGCCTAAAACACATTGTCAGTAAAAATACCTTGGCTCCAGGGCCACCAGGGAATCCAGGAGGTCCAGCAGGGCCAGTGGGACCCTAAAAGATGAGACGGAAACACAATCAGTACAAATGACAAAATAATTTTGTTTACATTTGTGAAAAGCTGTGAACACTTACTGGAGGTCCAGCAGCACCAGCGGCACCATCGTTACCACGAGCTCCCTACAACATAATACAAATTACAATAAATTAACATATTCTAAGAAAGCATGTATAAACTTATTTAGGAGTCATATATATTATATTTCTTATTTTTAGACATGCCTTTATTTTTTTACTATTGTTTATTCTTATGCTGCACAATATGATGAAAGCACATTTGTAGTATGTGATCTGTGTGTTTGTGTACTCACAGCAGATCCAGGAGCGCCAGTGCGGCCCCTCTCACCAGGAAGACCACGAGGTCCCTGAAGAAGAGCAACAGGAAGTCAGACTCCAAACTGAGAAAAATGACTGTTCAAGATGGCAGCAATGTGGCTACTTACCATAGCACCAGGAGTACCATTCTCACCAGGGGAGCCAGCCTCTCCCTACAACATATAGGTATGCACACAAAATCAATTAATCAAATCAGTGATTCATACTTTTACATAGTATCTGTATGTCTTTCTACTGTTAGGTAATTATCTCATGGTCAATGGTACAAAAGGTAAAGAATTCAGTTTCAGTATATGTTTTACCCATATAAAGGACAATATCATTTAAATAAATGTCAGCCAGTCATGGCAAACAGTACACACAGATTGTATTATTTAACAACAAAAGCCAACATCTGGGTTAATAAATAAATAAATAACAGTATTAGTGTAGTAAATATGAATAAAGGTTTCAGCTTTCAAAAACTAGCAATTGGATCAAAACTTATTCTCAGCCTAAAAAGTTCACTTTTGTTACAGCTTTTGTCACTTGCAAACCTGCTTTAATAGAACTTATATCTAGGGGCTTCTGATTGCTCAAAATTAAGCCTTTTTGACAACTCATGATATTCTCACCTACTTTTGAGTGCTAACAGTTGTATTTTGCTCTTTATACAGCGAGTGTTTATATACAAAAGCTCAGCAAATATATATAGCTGAGGATATATATAACACAGCCATACCTTGGGTCCAGCAGGGCCACTGTCTCCCTTAGCGCCATCGGCACCACTGAATCCCTATAGAGACAAAGCCCAAACCATGAGCATATGTTTCATTGTCAAGCCAAATGTGCAACTGACAATGGGAAGACACTCACTCTGTGTCCTTTGATTCCGGGCAATCCAGGAGTTCCGGGGAATCCACGAGCTCCCTAAACACATGACACTTAAATAAGTTTTTTCCATTGTTATGGTTTCGTGCATTGTCATGTATGAATCGTTTATTGAGATTACCTGAGGGCCAGCGGGTCCACGCTCACCAGCACGGCCAGGTTTGCCAGACTCACCCTAAAAACACAGTCAGTGAAGTTTCACACATGCAAAAAGGAACTGATGATAACAACAACTGTTCTATTGATATGTTCTTACATCCTCTCCATTCTTTCCAGGAGGACCAGCTGGGCCACGTGGACCCATGGGACCCTAGTGAAATAAAAAGATGAGGAGAGTCAGGACACAAGATGACAAGCACAAGTATGTTTTTATAGATCAGATACTCACAGCAGCTCCAGCCTCACCAGGCTCACCAGGGGGGCCAGTAAATCCTTGAGGTCCCTGTAGGGGGAGACAAAGACCATTATTACTGAACTCTTTGATAAAGACAGAGATGGGGGAAATACCAGGACAAAATTATATACTGACAACACATACTCTCAGATGAGATAAATATGATAAATAAGCATGTTATGTGTATTTAAAATAGTGTTTCTCTATAGAAATATAGAATGTGTTGGAATGTTGAATTTTGAAAGCCTCTTATAACCATAGACGATCTGCAGCAGACTGGATTTGACCTCCCTTTGAGTGCATCTCAAGAACTTTTTTTTAGTTAATTATTGGCAATGAATGTGGCATACAAAACACAACACCATGTTTCTGACTTAGGCAGGAAAAGGCACGTTCTAAGTAAAGGGAGCTACTGTATAGCTAGTAGCTAGAATGTTTTTTGTTGTTGTTTTTCAAATTGCATATACATTTTAAATGCTGTATCATCATTTGCTTTCATTATTATTATTATTTTTTTTTGCAGCGAGTGGTGTACTTACACTTGAGCCAGGAGGTCCAGGGGGTCCTCGGGGTCCCATAGGGCCCTATATATATCATACAAAAACAGGTTAGTACTGTTTTTTTTTTTAAGGAAAGATATCTTGTCTCTATATGTTTCTGTCCATACACACCATAGGTCCAGGCACGGGCATGGCAGGGGATTTGTCATCATAGCCACCAGACATTTGAGGGGAGAAGTTCTGAGGGGAAATAAAGATTAAAAATGGTAGAATCACAGTCATCAAATGAAACAATTATTACTTTAGTAAGTTTCTAGTTTAAAAAAAAACATTCACATTTTCAATTAGCTGTTTTGCTTTTATTTCACTCTAACCAAAGGCATTTCTATACTAATCTTGCTTACAGATGTATACTTCATAAACCATTACAGTGTCTACTTCTCTTTATGACCCTGTGACCTTTCCCTGACCCCAGACTGACTGGAATTGTTATGGTTAAGAGCATAGATTATTAAATGGCAGCTGATGCGGCCTGAAAAAACTCTCAAGCACTTAACCTCACTGAAGAGATCAAGATTAAACAACGCATTTATCTGCAGTAGCATCTAGCATCACTCCTGACTTAACCAAAAAAGGACAAATTGAAAAATAGGAACATAATTAAACCCAAAACTTACTCCACCAAGGCCAGGAGGTCCAGGGGGGCCGGGAGGTCCAGGAAGTCCAGGCTGTCCTGGGATACCATCTCTACCAGGGGGGCCAGCAGGACCCTGCAGAAAAATTATAAAGATATATTAACCACACAAATAATCAAAACAACAACTGTTTAATAATGCACTTCAGTTTCCACTTAAGTTGCAAATCATGTGACCGATCAGGAAGTAAATAAGGTCTTGGTCATGTGATTCATTAAAAGGTCAAGTGTACAAAATAAACTTATGATCTGTATGAAGAATTCAACCAAACACATTATGAAATGTCTGTAAGGTCTATAAGTCTTCAACACAGAATAAGTACAGACTTTATTTAACGTACACATGTGCTCCCCAGACATTTGGTCTTAAATGAAACTGAACCAGGTAAAGAATCCACTTTTGAGCTGTGCGTGTCGGAGCTTGGCCTCAGCACGTTACATGACATTTCAGCTTTCACCCATCAGACTTTCCTGTAGCCCACACCAAAGTGGACTTTGTATAACTTGTCACTCTATATAGACATACTGATGCATCATTTATAAAAGAATAACATCCTCATAATAAACACATTTCACTTTTCATTCACTCATGAACTAGTTTTGCTAAGCTTCTGTTCCCACTATCATGTAGCATCCTAGCTAGACACTAGCTTTCTACACAGCATTCACTTGACGACAAACCAAAACTCCCACATCAGACACTAAACACACATAATGTCTCAAAAATGTTGGCTTACCCTGTCTCCCTTGGGTCCACGCTGTCCTCTGGGTCCCTATGGGAAAACAATAAAATGCATTGAATTTATTAAAAAACAAAACTATATGTACAAAATAAATAAATAATATAAAATCTGTGAATCATGAACTGCAATTAGCCAGAGTTTGTGCATTCTATAAAGCCATCCTTGTCATCATTATGTAAAGAGTGTTTTCTGAAATATCACATTTAAACAACTAATGTATAGAAATACATATAACTTTAAATAGAAAAAATACATATAAATACATCATATTTGCTTTATCTGAATGTGTCAAAGTGATTGCTTACCTCAACCTGAGCATCCTGGAAGCCTGTAGAAAATGTAAACACAATTAGCATTTGTGGTTTAGTATTTGTTGTGAAAATAGTCTACTCTATAAGTATTTTATCATGACTGTGTAAAACATGTATGTTACCAGGATTACAAACTCATTAAGATTACACATTTCTTTTGTAAGAGTAGAGGACAAGAATTAGCAGCATAAATGACAAACAACACCATCATCACATAATGCTGTCTGCTGAACAGTCCTTCTGTATTCATATTTCATATTTTTTGTATAATATACTGACAAGATTTACATTTACAGTTTATTTTAGCACTTTTATTTCTGATTTGAGATGTATATACTGTAGATATAATGCAGGGCTGTTTATGTTTTGTGTGACAATCTGTCCAGCAACATAAGGTCAAAGTAATTAATCGGAGAGGTAAACCCATGGAGAGACACAGTTAATAAATGACAAACTGAGTAAATAGTGCTCCCTGAAAAAGTATCAAAATCAGTGGTGGAAGAAATACTCCATTTTATAAAAGTACTAATACAGGATCAAAAGTATAAATAAATACTCAAGTAAAAGTGATTCATTCATTATTAATTAAAGTATCAAATAATAGTAATAAAAAATACAGTTAGTATAAAAAAGTATTTGAGAATGTTTTAGGTCCTAAGTGATTTTGATGACGAAGTGACAGAATTGATTTCTTTCTTTGTCTTTTTTTGGTTTAAGAAGTTTAGATATTTTTGCTCAGGACTTGAACCCAAAACCTTTAGGCAAAATGCTATCATCAGGATCCCCGGAGGTTGCTTGGGTAAAATCCAGATACCTACAGGACTACTTAAGTACAGTACTTTTACTTTTGTACTTTTGCACCATCACTGCTCAAAATTCAAATAAGAGAACAGCCACTTTTTCTGAGTGTGAGATTTTGTAATGATCAGCGTTGCTCCACAGTTCAGTCTACACGGGGACACCAGCTGACAAACTGTTCACAGACGCAAATGTTGAAATCTGCTCGTAACACGTGTCAATAGTGCGCATGCGTTTGGCCATACCGTCGTCGGGGCAGACGGGGCAGCACTCGCCGGGGGGGATGATGGGGTTGGGGCAGTCAGACTCCTCGCAGATCACATCATCGCACAACACTGAGCCGCTGTCACACACGCAGATCTGGCATGGTTCTGGTTTCCATACGTCCCTGTCATTAAACACCTGGCCGGCTACTTTGCAGCTCCCGCCTGTGCCTGAGGGGGGCGCCAAAGAGAGGGGAGAAGCAGAGGTCAGACATCTGGGATCATAAAACAACTAAGGCCTAGACTAATGAAAACAAGAAGATACAGCAAAATAACTAGCGAGGCTTAAGTTGTTGTTTAGTCTGTTTAAGTAATTTTGAATGTAGTTAGTACATTGTGAAAAGTATGTAAAGTTATGTTGTGAGAGGTACTGTATATTTGGTAGTATAATAACCAAGTTCAGTCGTAAAATATTTTTTTAAATATGGCCGTAAAAGCCTCTTGAAAAGTTTTTTTTTTTAAATTTAATACATCAGCTTTATGGTTTGTCTGTTAAATAAAATAATATATAGTGTTGTTGATAAAGACCTGTTTTGTTGTATTTTTGTTCTTTTAGGTGACAAAAGTGATAGAAGACATCTCCAAAGGATGCAAGATACAAAGGAACATGTTTGGATATGTCACGGGCAGCAAAGAGGCCATCTTACTGAGAACTTCCTAAAACTCCAATTGATACTGCTACGCCAAGTACCTAAGAGACCTGTTCCGTCAGATTTTCCTATATCATCTGCAGTATTACTCAAACCTAGGCTTCTCTGGCCTCCTACTAAGGCCCTACACGACGTGCCTTAGTGCTGAGCTCAGAGAGTGCAGTCGGCTTGGCAGCAGGGCCTGGAAACACTCCGCATGTGTTTGCCATTAGGAACAGCAAAAAAACCCAAAGAGAGTGGAGGGAGGGAGGGGGAGAGAGCGGGGGACGTGGCTACCAGATGTTGATGACCGTAACCTTGAGTCCCTCTAGGTGGCGCTGTGAGTCCATACACTTAGCACAGGCCTGCCCCCCCCCACCCCCCAAACCACAGCTGCTGAACTCCTCCAGACAGAAGAGCCACATCTGGAAAAAGTGACTTGGGTTTGTGCTTGGTTTTTTCCAGGGCCTCCTTCTCCTTTTGTCTTCCCAGATTTCACTCATTGTCATCCATTGCAGGCAGAAAAAGTGAAAAAGCATTCTCTTCTCCTGTCAACAGACAAGACTACGCCTGCTCACCTTAAACTCTCACCTGGCCTGCTCTACTGTTGGCCTCAGGGTGTGTATTTCCCTGCCACATCACTGAAGGCACTCAAAATAAATGATCAAAATAAACTCCTCATTTAAGGCCCTATCTGCCACCTCCAAATTCAAATCCCAAATTCAAAACCTGAACATTCAAACAATTCTTGCCTGGAAACATCTTGTACTTGGATTGTCATTTAGGAGCTGCCTGCAGATTTTTAAAGCTATTGAAGATATTTATTACCCTAGTAAGCCTGCCTGGTTGCTTTTAAAAGAAAGCCTTGCCTGGAGGAGAACCTGCAAAGACTCGCTCTACACTTCCAAAATGTGAGGACGACCCAGGCAAACTTGAGGAGACTGGTCTTGTGAGATGTGCTACACCCAGTTCAATCTCTCAGTATCCTTTTGACAACTAAAGCTAGAATTTTCAAGGTTGAGCATCATCAGGCCCGACTCCGCTCTCCTCACTCTCTTCTGCCTCTAGTTCTCTGCAGCGGTCCACGCCCGATGGCATATCCAAAATACGCAGCAGGTACAAAAAAACAAAAGCACAAGTTGCTGTCAGGACCTCCCGGCTGAAACTTACTGTCGTCCTCTCCCTGGGCATTGACCAGGAGCACCGCCGTGCTGAGCAGAAGCGCCAGCCGCATATCCACAAAGCTGAACATGTCTAGATGCCACCAGACATGTAGACTCTTTGGGGCAAGAAAGGAAGTTCAAAAGGAGGGAGCTGGAGGGGTCTTCTGCGTCTCCTACACTCCACTCATACACCGGGGTCTGGGGCAGGGTCCTCTTGTCCGATCGCCGGTGTTCCTGACCCCTGCAGAAAACTCCCTACTGCCTACCCTCGGCGTCCACAGGGGCTTTTATATGTGGAGCGTGGAGGACTGGGAGGTACCACGACGCACCCTCATTAGCCCTCTGCCTGCTCACGTTTAGGGAAGACAAGAATGGACCCCTCCTTCTTCCAAGCAGGAAAAAAGGACAAGAAGTGAAGTGGTAAAAGAAGCAAATCCCTCCTTCTGTAAGGCCAGAGTCAGAGGAAACCCGATCTACACAGCATCAACCAGGACTTCCAACACTATTCTTCTACTTCCTTGTTGTTTTATGTTCTATTTAGTCTTAATCCTTCTACTTTCTGCTGATTTGCTTCCATAAATGTCTTTAGTTTATCCTGCACATTTTGTTTGGTTTGTTTTACTTTCCAAGAGGGTTTTACGGCCGTGCTGTCAAGCTGTGAACATGTGCTGAACACGGCTCTGTTGTTTGATGTGTTTAGCTTACTTTGACTTTGTCTCATGCTGATTTAGTTTGACCTGAAACTTCCATTGTTCTCATACACCACGTTCAGCTTTGCTCATCAGCTCTTGGCCTATATGTGCAGTAATTGATTCCAGTTATTTTCTTCTGTCAGGAGTATGCACATGGCACCTTCTGTTCTGTATTGTCCTTCGTATATTCCTGTGCAGTGCTTAAGATGAATAGAGTTTATCTGTAACTTGTCAGAAAAAGGTTCATTATTTGTCAGTGACTTCTCAGAAGTAATTTGGATTGCTTAGTGCACAATGTAATTTGAAATGCTACACGACATAGTGCACTGTGAGGCCTTAAAAAGAAAAATAACTTGTCATCCACATAAATATTCAGCCATTGTATAAGCCTCACATATTGTTTGTGTCATGATTCAATAAGTGTGTTTGCCAAGGACAAAATAATACAATTAATAAAAACAAAAACTAAATTTCAATTCTTAGTCTTTTTTCATTATGACATGTGGCACATTTCTGGATTAACAGTGGATGCAACCAGGTCACGTGACTCATTTGGAAACAATGATCTCAAGGAGATCATTGATCTATACCACACAAATATATTTACTAGAGTGCTACCATCAATAATAGACATGATCTAAACTTGAATGTCAATGAAATGATCTGATGATGTTTGAGTTTGATAATTAAATATGTTTTCTTAAAATGCGATTATTCTGTTACTGAAAGCACAAAACAGAGATGAACATCTCTGACCTCCTGCAGTGGTCAAGGCCTGATGAAGTTAGTGTCTACCAAAGTTTAACCGTCATGTTCCCTATGAAGCAACCAGATGTTGCATTTTTACACAAGTTGAGGAGCTCAACTTGCCCCTTTTAGAAATACCTGCACAATTATGGGGTCTGCAGACGTTATGATTGTTATTGGCAGTCAATAATAAAAGCCCTTTTTAGCGGCCCCCAGTCCAAATAAAGGTTTATACGGACGATCCCCTGCCTCCCCCTCAGAGGGTGTGAGCGCGCCGGGGTGACTGCAGGTGGGCTGTAATTAAGGTCAAAGCACACATTAAGAAGCAGATGAGCTGAGGGAGACAAGCGGTCGTGCCATCTGATCCAGAGGAGCAGACACGTAGCAGTGTGCAGCCTCTAATCTCCTCCTCTGAGCGCTCGCTCGCCAGACACCTCCACATTACCCATGAGCCTTCACTGTGAGCACACATCATGGAATGCTCTGCCTCTGAGAACAAGAGAATAGAGCAGAGGAAAGGAGAGGAGAGCAAAGCAGAGGAGAGGGAACCGCCAGCTCATCACTCCCTCACTCACCTCTGATTGGATCATTGCAACGTCACTATTCAAAATACAACCCCATGTTCAGTGTAACAAAGTAATCTTTCTGTGAAAAAGAAGTCCCGTCTGCTCCAGACCAGTCTTTATTTGAACTAAATGCTATTTTCAGTAGACACTAAACAGTAATTAACCAATTGTATGCAAAGAGCCTGCCCATACATCACAATGACCTGAGTTGTGCATAACACATGTAGACGAACAAAACTGAACTTTATTCACAGGGCGCTTGACTGTAACTTTCTGCTCTCAGTTACACATTTACTTCACAATTAAATTTGTTCTTCAACACTTGGAGCTGAACAAGTCTTGGAAGGGAAGTGAGACGTCTTCAGCTCTTCAAACTTAGTCCAATTGTCTAATCGCCTTTTTGCAATGGACCTAACCTGGATCATTAAAGGAATAGATAACTACACTACAGAGTCTACCACCGAGTACCACCAAGAGTCTGTGGGAATTAATGAAGATCCATTTTGAGTGTATACAGTGGTAAACAACAAATGCATTGACTTTGCAATTTAAACTCTAGAGAGACCTTTTCCTTGACTGACCTTAAGGTCACGAGGTTAAGGCTGATTGTAAATGATTAAGGCAGCGTTGTTGGTTTTGTTTAACCTTTTAATTGAAGAGCATTCTTGGAGACACCAAGAATGCATTAAACAGACAGTAAATGGTTGTATACATGTAGTGTTGTGAGTGTTGCTCTGGTCTAACTTATTGCGAGGTTAAATGAGTCCTTTCAGACTGGAGTGCATGTTTGACCCAGGCGCATTATGTACTCTACACACCTCTATATCACTACATGCTAATTACAGCTTCTGCCAAAGCCTGGTTCAGTAAAGGCACAGTGATTAGTAAAGCAAATAAAATATAGTCTGTAATTTCCGATTTTTGTCCAACAAAGCAGCTGGACACAACAAATGTTTTAGATTCTTGGCATCAAATGCGTGAATGTAGAGTATAGGGAGTCACATGATAAACACAGGTTTGTTGAAGAAAAAACTTTATATAAAGCCTTAGATGTAAAACATGCTGTTTTTGAGACAAAAATAAAGAAACTCTGCATATTGTAGCTCATTTATGTTACAAGAGGGAGTTGTGTATGTCTTCGCCACAGGTTTACCCACTGCATAGTCTGTATTGTAGATGGTAGACCAATCTTCAGCCAAAAAGTAGATTATACTACTAGGCAACTAGTTGTTCTGAGCTAATGCTCTCCACAATGACGCAAGTGTATTTTTGCAAATTTAAGTTGATGCTGATTACAATAAACATTCAGCTGACTACACAATGGTGCACTGCTAGCTCAACTGCTTGCAACTTCACTGTTTTTTGCATAGTAGCACTAAAATAAATCACAATTTGAACCTCAGGCAGTGGACAGAGAGCTGCAGGCGGATGTCACTGACAACATGAAGACTTTACAAAAGACCAACCACCGGGTGAGAACAAATGGGAATTTAGACTGGGTTTCAAGAGAAAAGGATTTGACTTCTCACGCCTGGGGTCAAATATTCATTATTTCTAGATGTGACATGTCACTTGTATGATTGTATAGAAATAAAATGTTAAACCCATATTTCAAAACATTCTCCATGGAGATAGATATGTTTAATGTCATACTATGGAATATTATAGCCAAAGGAACAACATTTCCGTGGAAACAAGCTGGAGGAAGCCCACTCTGAGGCCAAAAGTCAGGTTTGTGGAGATGCAAGGCTGGTCACAGTAAGTCCCATATTTTTTCTGAGTTTTAAGTGCAATAAACACAACCAAATATACACTGTTTAAAAAGATTCATACTATGGTTTTAAAATTGTTAACAGGTACTAATACACTGGATGAAATGAGTACAAGCAGAAATGACTGCCCTTTTGTTGAACTTCATACAGGCTACTACCATCAGATTATTAAACAATATACAAAGATAATATAAGACTTAAATGTGGTAACAGTTCTTTTAGTTAACATTTTTGAAATATTTTCTCATTGAAACAGCTCCTTCGCCATTTCTGACAAATGACACGGTTTGTGCTTTCAAAAGACCAGAAGGTAAGCACGCAAACACTCATTAGAAGCGCTCAAGTCCACACTTTTGTCTCCAAAGTGCTTGTCAGGTTTAAAAGATGCTTTATCTATTCAACAATACAAGTTTACTGCCCTTTTCACTGTAGTGGGTGCACACTGCAGGTGAAGAGGGTTTGGAAATTTCATATAGATTCAGTAAAATAATAAATAGTAAATATAAATCAAATAGGACTCCAACTTTTCACTTATTTTAGGCATGTATAAATTAAGCATTTCACACATAATCATGCCCAATACAGAATGACTAGGTGCCATAATAATAATGCCATAACTCCAATTCAATAAATGCCTAATGCTGAGCATTAAAACTGAAAATAACAGTGGAAGTCCACTCCAACAGAAACCACGTTTCACGTGATAATTCATTGTCAAATTACGTCTCACCCACCAAAACTAAATCAGTCATGTAAATATCCTTTTGGACTTCTGAGGTGTAGAAGCAGGTTGCTGAGGGAGGTCCGTCCAGATGTTTTCCCCCTGGTAACAATGAGCTCTTCCTCATTTAAGTTCCTGCATCGTTAAAAACACATTTGACCAAGTTGAGAAGGTGGGTCAAAAATGTGACATTGACACATGGTGGAGAGGTGATATCAAACTTTCAACAAACTTTCTAAATAAATAAAACTACACAGATTAACTTGAAACTTGAAAGCACTTCATGAAGATTGAATTGACAAAAAAACCTGTATTTTGTCTTGGACTAAAATGCCCTAATATGACACTGGTGCTGGAGTCTTATGTAAAACAGCCTGATCATCATTTGACTCATTCAGTCTGGGATGTTGGGTTTACCTACAAAGTCTATGGATTACATGCATCTAGGCTGCCAAAAAAGCCAATCAGGAGAGAGGATATAAAGGTACTCGCCCCTTCCTACTCACACCGCTGATTTGGCAGGGGTGTCAAGTCAAACCTGTAACTAACTCTAGCGGTCGCCAGCCTCGGGGAGCACGTGATTGGCCTGTTATTACTGTGCATATCTTGAGGGACAAAATTGCGAAATCAGAAGGCCAGGATCATGTCG